CCTGAGACAAAATTATGCACACACCTGCAGCCAATAGGAGTACAGGTGTCCCTATAAGAGGGGACGCTTCCCCTCAATCAGCCTCCCATTATCTAGACTGAAGAAGCCAAGAAGAGAGAAAGACTCAGGATGAAGAAACACCGTAGATTTTCCAGATCATCGACGTCGTCCTAAAATGAGCACACCAGGAGATTTTCCACCCCCAAAAGCTATTTTCAGAGCTCAATGTCGCTGTTCCTCTATGGCGGCTGCTGACCCCCACGACTTATGTTTCGTGTGTCTAGGGTCACAGCACGCCAGGGACGGCCTCATAGATCCCCCACTATGCGCTAGCTGCGCCCTCCTTTCATTGAAAGAGAGGAAGCAGCGTTGGGCATTTTTTAGGGAGGATATTCCTCTTGAGGATGTGCTATAATAATAATAATATGCCATTTAGCAGACGCTTTTATCCAAAGCGACTTACAGTCATGTGTGCATAAATTTTTACGTATGGGTGGTCCCGGGGATCGAACCCACTACCCTGGCGTTACAAGCGCCATGCTCTACCAATTGAGCTACAGAGGACCACTGTCAGTGTTAGCCTCAGCTTCTGAGGCATCATCTGAGGGCGCTGACTCAGGAGATGACAGGGATATTGGAGAAGAGATGGATATTCCAGCGGAACAATCCATCCCTCTGAACCATGATTTTAAGACCCCATTTCCATTGGAAAGGGCAAGGTCTTTTTCATCCCTGGGCGATGATGATGCGGGCTCTGTGAATTCAGCAACCACATCATACGCCACAGCCTCTCTGCGCTCGGACTTTCCAGGGCTCATCGAGAGGGCTGCCGAGCGCCTGCAGATTAAGCTGCCCCCCATTCCCTCCAACCCGGAAGTGGATATGATGGAGGGCGGTCCTTCTTCCAGGCCCAGGAGGGCGGCGGAGCCTCTGGCACAGACCATGCCCTCGCTTGGTAAGTATGTGGAGGGCTCATGGGAGGCACCTTTAGCGGCGCGTTCGCCGGCTAAGGCGTACCTCCCATTCACCAGAGTGGAAGGCAGACAGCAGGGCCTTTCAAGGGGAATCCCCAGGCTCGAGAGCACCCTGGCTGCGTATCTCGTGTCGGGTTCGAGTCCCTGGCCCTCGTCCAAGAAAGCTGTTCTACCCACACAGAAGGACAGACTCACAGCACAGCTGGCCAGACACCTGCCACTGGCAGGAAGACTCGGCCCTGCACCGAAACGACCGTCAAGCTCCACCGCCTCAAGTAGACAGGGGTCTACAGCGAGGCGTTGTGCCCGGCGCCATGCAGCGACTTCCAGCAGCAGAGAAGCAGGCCCCGCCCCTCCTGCAGAGCCAGAGGTCCCAACCGTGCCGTTGACAAGAGAGGTCGTCAGAGCGTCTTCTTGGAAGCACCCGAAGGGTGGCCAGAAGAGACGGTGCCAATGACGTGGCGAGGGGGCGAGAATGGGAGACGCTGCAGTGGCTGGTCCGACTGTGCCCACTATTCCCCCCCACCCTTCTGTTGAGGGTATGGAGGGAACTGTTGTTGTTGATGTTTTGAATAAAGAGTTGGCTCCAATTGACTTTGTCACAAGAGAGCCCCTTTTCCATGATACATCCGAGAACGTTCAGACTCCTTCACTCTCTCTCTCTCTCTCACCACTCTGAGTGTAGCTCAGCCCACCAAGGGTGCGTAGCTGAGCACACACGAGGCGAGTGTGATAAAGGTAACAAGGCGCCGCCTCAGTTTACCTCATAAAGACCTCACACTACAGACTCCTAGGAGTGCTGTAGTGAAGGTCTCTCATAGCAGAATGCAGCCACAACCAAGTAATGGAATGATGACGCAATCGCTACGCGGGGACGGCGCTCTGTCTCAGGCTAACGCCTCAGTCAGTGCAGTTCAGACCCATGCTGCGTTCACGGAGGGCCGGAATACTACAGTTACGAGTGTAACCAACGCATCGGCGCCCCCGTTTCTCTCAGAACGCTCTGATGTTCACCAGTCTGAGTGTAGCTCAGCCCACCAAGGGTGCGTAGCTGAGCACACACATGAGGTGAGTGTAATTAAGGTAAAAAGGCGCTGCCTTGCTTTACCTCCTGAAGACCTCACTTTACAGACTCCTAGGAGTACTGCAGTGAAGGTCTCACATAGCAGACTGCAGTCACAGCCAGGTAATGGAATGATGATGCAATCGCTCTTAGGGGACGGCGCTCTGTCTCAGGCTAACGCCTCAGTCAGTGCAGTTCAGACCCGTGCTGCGTTCACGGAGGGCCGGAATACTACGGTTACGAGTTTAACCAACGTATTGGCACCCCCGTTTCTCTCAGAACGCGCTGATAGTTCCTCTCCCTTTCTTGGGAGGGGAACAGCGGCGGCAAGGGCCATAGAGGAATACAGGTCCTTCCTACTGAACGTACCACAGCTTCGCGCTCTTCCTCTTTCTCTGCATTGCTGGGAGTGGCGGCGAAGCTGTTGGAGAAGGGTTATGCCATCCAATTTCATCAGGTGGGCTGTCAATAATATTGGTGGCCCCCGATCTCCCGGGGGCTCCATGGTTCGCGGAGATGAGTCAGATGTTGATTGCGCCACCTTGGCCAATTCCACATCGACAGGGACGTGTTGTCTCAGGCGGGAGGCTTGATAGGGCGATTGCCCATAATCGGCCAACCACTGAAGGCTTGGCTCCTGAGAGGGACAGGCTAGAGCGACATGGGTTATCTGATTCAGTAATCAGGACCATACAGGGTTCACGTGCCGGTTCCACTTCCAGGGTGTATGCCAGTAAATGGAACGCGTTTTCACAGTGGTGTGTCACAGAGAATGTAGACCCCATGAACTGTTGGGTTGAGAGTGTACTCTTGTTCCTGCAGTTGATGTTTGATAAGCAGCGATCGCCCGCCACTATTAAGGTGTTTGCAGCTGCGATTTCAGCTTGTCACGAGGGGTTTGGTAGAGACACTGTTTTCAGTACAGTAGAAGGCATGTATTGATCTGCCCACCAGTGAATAATTGGGTTGAGGCGGAATGATGAGGGATAATAGTAGTAACCTTGGTTACGGTACTATTAGACCGGTCATGACAATTTTGATGGAATGTGACGTCATCTATCTGCTTGTTCAGATTAGTATGAATCATGTTCTGGGATCTGCCCACTAATCTTTGGGGTGCCATTGATTGAGTGGGGCGGGGGGGCTACTATGTTCACAATGTAGAGTGACACTTTGTGTCATTCCATTTGTGGTCGGTATTGTTGTAACAGGATATTGAGGTACCATCTATCTGCTAGTACAGATTAGTATGGCCCGTATTCTGGTGATCTGCCCACCAGACATTGGTGATGCCATTGGACTAGGTGGGCGGATTTGAACCGATGACGCAGTATATTGTGACACAGTGTGTTACAGTACTGCGGGACTTGGTCGCAGCCATTGCTAGGCCCGACCTTTTCATTTCGATGGGAAGTGTTGGGCTCGGCAGGGAGTACATTTTGGAGCGTTGTACTCCACCTTAAACCAATAGGAGCAGAGCTCCCCTATGGGGCAGAGCTCCACGATATAGAACGATCGTTACTGGAGTGTAACTACCGTTCTATGAGTGGAGCGGAGCCCCATAGGACTTAAGGCCCTGCCGACCCTCTCTAGTCTCGCTGAAGATAATGTTCGGGAGGCTGAGTGAGGGGAACGTCCCCTCTTATAGGGACACCTGTACTCCTATTGGCTGCAAGTGCCTATTGGCTGCAAGTGTGTGCATAATTTTGTCTCAGGCTGTTCGCTGCCTCGGCAGCGGGGTAAACCAATAGGAGCAGAGCTCCCCTATGGGGCTCCGCTCCACTCATAGAACTGGAGTTACACTCCGGTAACTATCGTTTTTTCCCACAAAAGGGCTTTATTTATCCAAATGGAATTAAACATTTAAATCACAGGGCTTTTTCGCCTTTATTCAAATAACATTTTCACTGAAGCCTAGAGTAGAATTTTGGGTCCTGCTTTAAATAACGTGCAGCTTATAAAGGCTTCATAAAGCAATTTGGGATGTTCCTGCATGTGGGTATTCCCCTTCGAGCATCCCATTGGTTCCTTCATGAATACACCCCCCCCCCCCCCCCCCCCCAAGCATGACATCTTCATGCTTGCGTGACACTTGAATGTGGGTCAAAAGGGAAATAAAATATTATCTGGGTGTCCTTCGCTCCCGCCTGCCCTCACAGTCATTTACAGAACTGCGGGAAAACAGTGCCCGACAGATGGGATCGATGGACACTAGTCTACCGGTCACCCCCGCCTCACGCTAGAACAGCAGGCGGGAGGCTGGGGCGACATGTGCTAGCTAACTAGCCCCCCACCTGTTTACCGGAGAAAACCGTTCCCGTAAGGCGGGGGCGAAGGACACTGTCTACCGGTCGTCCCCACCAGCATAGCAGGCAGGAGGCTGGTGCGACACCGTGTACTAACTAGCTTGTGATGGCTTATGGTAGAGAAATTAACATTAAATTCTCTGGCAACAGCTCTGGTGGACATTCCTGCAGTCAGCATGCCAATTGCACGCTCCTTCCGAACTTGAAACATCTGTGGCATTGTGTTGTGTGACAAAACTGCACATTTTAGAGTGGCCTTTTATTGTCCCCAGCACAAGGTGCACCTGTGTATTGATCATGCTGTTTAATCAGCTTTTTGATATGCCAAAAGGTGGATGGCAAAGGAGTAAACAAATTTGTGCACAACATTTCTGGGATCTTTTATTTCAGCTCATGAAACATGGGACCAACACTTTACATGTTGTGTTTATATTTTTGTTCAGTATATAATATGTGATTACCTTTTGGTTAATTTCTGTAAAAACATAGGCCTCTCACTCTTCCTCTTTCTTAGAGGCAGGACCAAAGTCCCAGGAGAAAGAGTCTGGGCTACACTGAACAAACCCATAGATCTTTCTGGATCCAGTATACCTTTGGAACTAATAGAAACAGTGGAAAAAAAGTGGAGACTCACAGACACTCTGTCTTCATCATGAAATGCCTTTCAACCGCACCACCATATTATTTGGATGCAATGGCACTGCACACTTCCATCCCCACAATAAAACCTTAGTTCTGGACTCCGTGAGGGCAGAGGATGAAGGTGTTTATGAAGAAACAGTGATTTATATAAATAACACTATGGTCCTGTCAGTCATTTGTAAGTACATCATATTACCCTTCTAATCCATTTTTGTCTGTCCCCGTCTTTATACCCAGCATTGCCTGCTTTGCTTCAGATTCAGTTGTGACCCATTTCCATAGATATCTTGACATCGCTAACCGATAAATCCAGATTTTTTTTCATTGGGAGCACATGTCCATACAATGGAAGTTACAAAAGTTGTAGAGTAAAAAAGTCACCAGACACATGACTTATTGGATTCAAATGCAGAGATTCACAACTGATTAACGTTTTGGTCTCTTTAGCTCCTCCCTCCACATCAGTGTAAACTCCTCCCACATGCTGCTGACAATGACCTGTGAGGTCAAGGGTTCAAACCTCTCCTATTGGTTGCTGAAGGATGACTAGTCCTTCCTCCCAGATGCCAGATGGTTATTGGGTGAGCGTAACCAAACCTTACAGGCAAACAACCTGACCAAGGCAGACTGTGGGAAATACACCTGCTTGGTGGCCAACCAGGGATGCCAGACAGAGGGACACCTCCAACTCACAGGTGAGAACAACCTAAAACTAACCCCTAAACTTAACCTATGCCTCTGTCCAGCATAGGAACATTCTGTCCATGTTCCAGGCTGACCACATTGCAGTCGCCTGCCAGATCTCACAATGCCCGGATAGGTGTTACACATATCAGCCAACCACATCATATGATATAGCAATCTGACGCCCGACTGCCAAGTTGATACGGTGCATGCAGCCATTGGTTGATATGTGTAGCGCAACTGCAATATAGTCAGTCTGGAACACAACCTAAAACTAACCCTAAACGGAAACCAAGCCTCTGTCCAGCATAGGAACATACTCACATAATAAGTTCATATTGCCATTGCTAATTGTGGATTATCAGTATCCAAATGCCAGTTTGTTCTAACATGATCTGTCCCATTTGTCTTTCTGAGCAGACGCCCTATCCTCTGTGTGTAGGGATAAAACTGCCCCAGCCACACTGCTGATAGGCCAGAGAGAACTTTTCATCATGGTAAAGTTGGGCATCATCATTGCCTGTATCAGGAGATATCGCCAGGGTAAACGGTGTCATTTACCGCATTAATTAAAAGTCTGTTGAGTAATGGCTATTATGGTGGTGTCCTGAAAGGAAAAATATTATATTTATGTTTTTTCGCAAGGTATAAATACAGCAGCATCTAGCAGGTATGGTTTTAGCCACTTTCTCAAGATCATTTGGTAACAATTTACTAAACCTGCTGTTATAATGCTTTATAATGTGTTGTGTAATATTTTACATTTACATTTTAGTCATTTAGCAGACGCTCTTATCCAGAGCGACTTACAGTTAGTGAGTGCATAAATTTTTCATACAGTGGATAATTTGAGCCACTATGTCTTACAAATAGGCCTATAAATGTGATGTCTCTATGTATCCACTGACTCCAAATGGCTGTTTATTATGCATTATACCTGTAAAGTGTTATCCCTTGTTTTTGTACTTAAAAGTCAATCCTTTCTATTACTTCATTTTCCTGTTGATTTTGACAGGATTTAGCAGCCTGTCAGAAACAGGAGAGGTACCAACAGAGCATAACTTAAAGAAAGCATCTAAAGAGTCTCTGAAATGTAAAATGCAGCATTAATGAAGGACCTAATGTTCGATTAAAACCGATAAATTGTTTTTAGGAAGAAGAGAGACACCACCGTGACAGAGAATCATGTGTATGCTGAGATGTGACAGGTAAAAAAATACAATGACTTTGTCACTCAATGAAGCAGTGTGGGACATTGTTAATGCCTTAGCTCAGTGCATTCTTGTGTGTGTGTCACCTCTAGGAGCAGCTTGAACAAGAGGAGGTGAACCCATTGCCATACGTCTACACGGACTTCCTTCCAAACAGAACACGAGCTGAGCCCCTGGAGGACTTTGGGTACTCCACCATCGGGCCAGCCTAAGAGCCAATTTATGCTTGATCCGAAAATGTGGTCGGAGGCGCGGTCTGGATGGTGTGACGCAATTGCGAAGCCTCCGGAGGTACACAGAGGCCAAATTGAGCTCCGTACCGCATCACCATACGCTTCTCAAATGTTGTTACAATGGGGAGGGCTCCGTATAGCTCCACATTGACATGATTGGTTGATGGTAGGTGAACGCAGGAGGTCCTGTATAAACACAAACTCACTTCCTTGACAACTTCCTTGACAACAGCTCTGCCACAGATAGAACAATGAGACAGATACTTCACCAGATGTATAAATGTGAAGCATCTGCTTGGCGTTTCCATTCACTACCAAATAGTGAGAAGAAGCCCAGTGGCCAGCAGTGGGAGAAGATGGAACGAGATGGATTTTGGCCAACATTCTGCAAATTTTCTCATCGATGTAGCATTTGATCTCAATACAGTTTTCTGTTCCCAAAACTATAATCTGTTATGAACAGAGTGGGCAAAGTTTTGTAGACTTTACACTTTGCCAAAGTTATTTTTTTTTAGTTGTTTAGAAGGATTGCAAAGGCAAATTGACTTATTGCACACGCGCACTTCAGAGTAGGCGTTCCCAAACAGAACTATGCAAATGCTAGCTAGAACGTGCCAATAGGATCTCACTAGCTCGTGCTTGGCTCTGCCCACCTCCTTGCTTGTTCTGCCCACTATGACTAATTTCTTCCCATTTGAAACGACAGGCTGTGGTCCATCTTGATTTAATTATACAAATCTTTGGCTCTGAGCTGCTCGTCGAAGCGCAAGAAGTATGAATGCCCTGACTTCTGCAGAGCCCAATTCACCGTAAATGCTGCACGGCCAATGCAGACGTTGGAATGACCATGCAGTGCCTTTAAGTGGCGTCACAGTGATCAGAGGGATCCAAAGATTTATCAGGGGTTTGTGATAAGGGTTCAGCAAGTGGTTAGGACATAGACAGTCAATTTCCACTATTCACATCCCAGAACGAGTAGAAGACGAAGAGAATTGTGACATACATTTATTCTAAACTGCTTTAAAGTGCCCATTATGCTATAGAGTTCCCCAATTTGGCCAGATCGAACAGTTGATGGACCGCCGTGCTGCAACAGAATGCAGAAGTTGTTAACATTTGCGTTACACTGGTAATTGTTTAACAGAATCCAGAAATCACATTTTGATGTTGAAGAAGAGACTGTGGTGAGATGAAAAGGTTTAATATAGGTTACTTTAATAAGTGTTCAAGGAATAATAGTTGCGTCAGCAGACAGTGTTATGACATACGACTCAGTGAAAGGGGCTGTGGGCGATGGCTAAGGGATCCCTCACTACGCAGGGGCTCCAGTAAGGCAAGGCTGCATTGAACAACTGGGCTGTAACAATCAAGTCCATACATGTCATGATACAGTACTATTGACATAAATAAGATTGAGCACACATTATACAAGCTATCAGAGGAAACATACTTAAGATCTGGCATCACCTCTTCAGAAGAACAAAAGGGAAGCCGTGATCTACATTCCTGTAAAGGGAGAAGGTTTATATAGTATTTTTTTTATCTGGGTGCATATTCAGTTTTTCTATTTTTCTAACTAAATGAACAGCTATAAAAAAGAAAATGTAATAAATAAGCTTGAATACAGAGGGTTTGGCTATTGTTATTTGTAATTGCATGAGTGTCCCTGGTTTCACCCTTTCCTGAAGTGAGAGCCTCATTGAACTGCAGAGAAGAAACGAATAAAACCTTCCAGGGTGACTGTCCTTTACAACAACAACAACAAATCTCTCTCATATATCTCTTTAACAGACGTTGGCAGGTAAGTCATAATGACTTACAACTACACACACCTCCACAGAGTTCCCAGCACAGCAGCTGAATCGTCATGAGGACCATAGGTTGTAACAAACTATTCACCTGTGGAAACAGTCCACCATCGCATTCATACACAGAGTCAAGACTTGAATTGGAATTAGAAAAATACATGTACAAAATTGATTACATTCAAGAGACAGTACTAGCACAAAAGGATATAGTCTATAGTCATTTCGATAACTAATAATATAGGAATTTTATAGAGGCATCTTCTAGATAGAAAAGGTTGAGAGTGATATATTATGGCTGTTTTTGAAGATGTGTGGGGTTGGTTACCGACTTGATTCTAAAATGCTCAAATTAGTTCAAAATACTTCAATGCATAATGTCATAAGATGGACATAAATACCTGTGTAATCTTTTAATTTCACTTAATGATATTACATTTTTAAGATCATCATGATATCATTTTGGTTTGGATCATAAGGTGCAAATATTGTCTATTAAAGGAGGCATTGAAAAGGTGCCAGTACAATGTACACCATTCCCACTTGGGGTTTAAGTCATAGGAAACCCATCAGATATATAGGATTAGTTGTGCTGATATAATACATTTGTTACCTGAAGATCTATACACCAAGAAAATGCAGTGCAACCGCTATGCTAACCTTCGTTTTCAACAGAATTTTCATTTAAAAGACAACTTTCCCTTTTCTTTGGCAAATGTCTAAAAACCACTAGTTACAAGCATGTATATCGCCACTCTTTTTGGGGAAGACAATTGCTAAATTTCTGTGAAAGAACAACACTGATGTCCATCAGTGGAAGAACTATGTGTAGTTTACAGCTTGGACGACTTTAGTCACCCTTCAATTTATTTTCTCTCAAAACTGTAAAATATATACAGTATATCTGTCTTAAATGTTTGTTTTAAAGCTTTCCTTCAAGCTTGGAGTTCGAACGTCATGATTTAGGTCTGCTTGTTTACAGTCCGTTTGTCAGCTTTTAGGGATCAATAAACTAATACAGCATTGCTCGTATCCCTACAAGTCAGTCCAATCCTGACTTGTAAGGATATATTTAATATAGTTTCAATATATTCTACTTTGTGACATTATAATCCCTTGGCTAAAACTAAATACCACCATTGGACAATAAGGGTTGAGCTAATAGCCTTTTTTAAAAGTGAATGTTGTGCCCCGACAGCACACATAAAATAGACATAGCCCAGAAATGGCAATGCAGTTGCTTAAAGAATACAAACTCCAGAAACGAGAGGTGGAAACTACCCTTCTAGAAGCAGTGCATCTCATCTCAGTGCTCATTTGCTTAACAGGTACTGTAAGCATTGATGCATTATTTTGTGTATGAGCTTTTTGACAACAGTCTTAATCGAGTAAACTAGGCCTCAGGAAAAAAAATAAATCTAGTTCAACAACATCATAATACACTTAAGTGAAGGAGAAGAATCAAATATAAAAAGAGCAATAAACTCAAAGATAAAGCAATAACGAGAGAAGCGTGACTGACTGCAAGACCTAAGAAAAATAGCATTGGTCAACTTCAAAACATAATAATATAGCATAATGGTAATTTCATGGAGGACATATCGGTGGGGACTCTTCAACCTAGGAACTGGCTTGCACTACTTGTATAAGCCCCAAACAGCTTCTTCCATCTGATTAGCTTACACCCAGAGCAGACGTCAAGAGTCCCCCAACCCTACTACAGCTCACACACTGTAAACAGAAGAATGGACACAAGGATCAGCTATTTGGATATGGAATGGATGCTAGCCTGTTCAACCTCAGTTAGAACATGCAAAAAAATAAAATGAATTTTTTTTATATATTTTTTTTACAAATCATTAAAAGCAATTGTCTCGTTATTGAAATACAAATACCTTCAAAAGCAAAACCTTAATTATTCTCATTGCCTTACAGTGGACCGTTACTTGGCATAAGAAAATCTCAAAGGCTAATAGGAAAGACAAAGAGACCAGGGAAAACACATTGCCCTACTAAGAAAAAGTAACATCTTAAAAGCGTCTCCTACGTTAGTGCAGTGTTCTTTGTTAAAAAACTATCTTAGGAAACTAGTAGCACACATTTGGATTAGCCTTGTAGATGCTACGCAGACTGCGATAAGATCAAGTATTGACACAAAATGCATTTTCATCATTCAAGTAAGATTCATTTTCATCATCGGATGTAAGATTCATGTGAATGGTTGCGCGGTGGATGTCAGGAATTAAGAGCAGAGGTTCTGGTTGAGGTACGGCTAACGTCGTAATGAGAGAGTTAAGGCCATGGAGAACCGTCCATACTGTCAGTAACTTTGCTTCTCATCACATTGAGCCCCACTGTAGTGGACCAAGCGCCAGGTAAAACAGGCAGGTTAAGACTTACAATATGCTAACCAAAGGCCTCCCATCTAAGCTTAAACGCAAGCTTAAGTTCAAATGCAAGAGCCTCAATGCGTTGAGTTCAAACTGACAATGAAGGTTAAACAGATCACCGTAGTAGCAGTTGCTAAGCTGGTTGGAAGGCAAGGGATAGAGTAATATTGAATACTTGACCACACTGTGGAAGGTTAAGAGGTCTGCTTTATCTCTAGACCACACTAAACAGGCTAATAAAAATGAGGGTACCACATCAAATACGTCACAAGGACTATCTACCAAGCTGTGTCAGTTTGTTCAAGCAGGAAGGCGTGCAGGAAGCCACAAGATTCGACTCATCCCTACATTTAGGTATGCTAGGTGGAGGGGACTTTGCAACAGTGTGTGAAAGGGGGAAGATGTTCTCTTGCAAGTGGTCAAGCTGACCATGTGTAGGTTTCCTTTCTTTTTTTGAAATGCAATTTTTGTTTGCAAAACTTGACCTTAAAATGGCGTAATATCGGACAAAGATTACACATTAACGTGAACACAACCTGCCTTCCTCAGGGTACTCTAAGTAGGTAGGGCCGTATGGGAAGAGGAGGGAGGTGACATCCTACTGCCAAGGGAAGGGTTCAGGAGAATACTGAGAAGGTGAGTGGATGGGAGGAGGGAGGGGAGGGGGCTCTTACCCCGCTTTCCCCCTCAGACCAGAGCTCTAGCTAATTCACCACAGAGGAGGGGTCCATCCACAAGTCACGTTCCATCTCCTTCCTTCCAGAACAGGATGAGGAGTCAGAGGTTAAAAGTTAAAACGCACACAACACGCAAGCGTCCATTTCGTTTTGCTGGAGGCAGGAGGGCGGCTGATCCACTTCATTGGTCAGCGCAGGAGATGAGGACAGGGGTCTGGGCCATGTCCTTCTGGCTGTCGCCAATCACACGCTGGCCTCTGATACAGGAGGAAGAGAAGAAGGTAAAGGTCAACCAATCAAGGTATGTACTTTTTGTTCTTGGCAAAGATTTGTGGTGTGGCATTTGTGTTCGGACGTTTTTTTGTCTGGCTAGTGAAGTAGTGTCAACTCAATTCCTGGAGGGCCGTGTGTATGCTCCTCACGGTTTTGGCTCCTCCCTTGTACTTGATTGATCAATGAAGGTCATTGATTAGTTATGAAACTCCCTGCACCTGGTTATCTAAGTCTTAATTAGACACAAATGTATAGGAAATAAAACATGCTGCATTCACGTTCAAAGCGTACGGAGAAAAATGTAACAGTGTTAAAAGAAAAAATAAGTTGAAAAGGATCAGCTTCCTTGAAGCAAAGGTGTGTCCCTCTTCATATATTTCTGGCTGCCTACCTGTGAATGTTCTCCATGGCTGCCTACCTGTGAATGTTCTCCATGGCTGCCACCTCGGCAAGGGCAGACAGGCTAAAGAAGGCGGGCAGGACTTCGGGTGCACTGCTCCTATCCGCTTCCTCTTGCTTGGGTGCGTTGTAGCACCCTGTTTCATTGCATAAAGTCTCTCGGGGTAATGGCTTTTCGTCCTGCTCTGGGGTCAGGTCCCTGGCTTTGTCCTCTGTGATAAAACGGACCAAAGCAGATGCCATGAGGCTATTGCCTGTCATTCAAAATGGCCTCTCAAAATGGCATGGACAGAACAACCCTCATTGCTACCTCATTGCTGTCATTGTAAATGTTTTTTAGTTTTTTTTTACTGCCGTTTTCCAGCTCACATACAGTATATTTACTTAAATCCTATGTATTTGATAATGTGCAGAATAAACTATTGCCTGTTAGGAAAGACCACTCACCCTCTGCTGGGGACACCCTGCCGTCGGCCGAGCGCACCAGGTGGGTGATTTTGCTCTTCCTAGCCTTCCTCTTCTGGCTGCCCACCGGCATACTAGCGCTAGTTCCCATGGCCTCTGGGGAAAGCGTGGCGGTGGCACATGGGGCGGGGCTCAGCTTGGCCTTGGCAGCTGAGTCTGACATGGGGGAGTCACTACGCGTCGCTATGTCTGAGAGGGGATAACATTTGAAAAGAGCCATTCACTTTCAATAAGGATTTTAGAATTATTGAACCCAAATTCTAACTTGAGATCTGGGCACCTAACTCCAATGTAATTCATGCGTAAATCATGAATTGACTGCAAAAATAGATTTGGCCGAGACCCTGTTCTGCTAGATGGTTAATTTTTTATTTACACCTCACTTTGCAGTTTAAAACTTGTTCAACAACTAAAGAGAGAATATTTTACATGTGTCTAAATTCAATGTGCAATACAAACGTATGGTACTTACATGGTCATTTTTTTACATTGCGTAATGTGTCCATTGCCTCCAACTATGTGTAAATACCATGCCAAGAACATTCACAACTGGATTACATAATGCACACACATGTTACATGATCCTCTAATTCACCTTTGTCCACAGTATTGGGCTTCTCCTTTTTCTGCTTGTACTTGCTAACAATCTTGTGGAATAAAGTCTTTTTCTGAGATGGAGATGGACCTGATATAACAAAAAAGACAAACAAAAAAAGAAACAAAAGCATTGCATGCCATGTTAAATGGTAACAATGTGGTAAAGTTCCTGAAAGCGAGGCGCAACAGGAGCGGTATGGGATGTGGAGGGATGGCTTCTGTCAAAATATATTGAAATGTTTGGTGAACATTCCGGTAACATTCTCTGCTTACCCTTGGCAGGTTTCGGGGGTTGTTCCTCCGGTGTGGTGCTAACGTCAGTTTTTTTCTTCTTGGTGACGGTGGTGCTTTTCTTGTCGAACGTCAGAGGGCTGTACTGCGGCAGGCTGTTGAACTTTTTCTCAAACTCCTCCTCCAGTTTCCCCAAACTGCAAAGGTATGTTGTTGATAAGATACAAGGTGGAACATGCTCAACTCCACTTTCTTCATGAAGGCTTTCATCTTGCGGAAACACTTTGCCATTTGTTTGTCATTGTTGTTTTTAATATTTAGATAGAAATGCCAACACAATAATAGCTTTTTCAAGCTCCCTCTTGCGTGTTTTAAGAGTGCCTTGATCGGATAAGTAAGCCCCACAGTTGCTATGTTCCTCGATTACTGAGTGGCTATAAACCCCTTTACGAAGTGGCTAATTATCCATGTCATTCAAGCAGGGTTTGAATTAAACATTGACTCTAGGGAACCCCTAAAAATATGAATAGGATGAACCAACCTTAATATTCTTAACGCTTATGGAGGTGCCTACATGAATATTTCAAACACTTGTGGGGGTGCCCATGTTAATGTTTTAAACACTTATGGGTTGCCCATAACCTAACCTGGCCTATTTGCTCTCTTCAGGGATTCCTCAAAGGCGGATATTAACTTGCACACAGAGGACCCCATTACACCACAAAGAAAGCGGAACTAGTTAAATAGTCACTGAAAGAATAATGTATTTTCCACATTCAACAATTCACTAATAGTCTATAAATAAAACAGACTTGTGGCATAAATGCAACGAGCATCGAGCCACAAGCGCACTTAGCCAATCTTCACTGCCATCCACTTCCATTAGTACAAACGTGAATCCTTGCATGACGGACGTGCCCCTTGTCAAACGGGCTTATTGTCCGTTCACTATATTCTGCTCCCACTAGTGATCTTTCATTCAGTTTTCAGTGATAAAACTTATTGGAGTAAAATGTTCTTGGACAGGGGACTCACCCTGGCGCAGTTTCGTCTTTGGATTTGGACTTCTTTAGCTTCTTGGGATTAGTGGGTCCCATCTGTGAGAAAGCCCAGGTCTCGTCAGTCCAGCTCCCTTCATCAGATCCACTTCGAAAAGAGCCTCTTTTGCCTGATTAACACACACACAAAAACAAAGTTTAGAGGAGCCACCAGTAAAATAAAAATAAACACAGGGACTTGCTCAGAATGGGTGTAAAACAACAGCATATTGATAGTCATCATGGCGACAGGGCAGGGGGGTTACTAATGCATACCTCTGTCCACGTTGGCCCTCAGTGAGGTCAGCATCCCTTCCGACACCAGGGTTTTGTACAGCGCCCCCTTGCAGCTTCTCTCCGACTTCCTGGAGCCACACCCTTCGGCGTTGGCCTCCACTTCCCTCTGCTTCTCCTCGACTTTGTGCTTGATGTGCGGGGGGCTGGGAGGGGCGGTGGGCTCCTCCGTGCTGCCCAGGGGATCCGGGGTGCTGCCGATGCTGGCCTCATCAGCCTCTGTCTTGGGGCTTGCTATATTCACTGCCATCTCCACTGTCGATGGCAGCTCTGTGCGCCTTCCATCCTCTTTGTCCTCCTCCATCTCATCTTCTTCCTTAGCCTTCAGGGGCCTCTTGGCTCTGAACTTCTTTTTGGGTGAGCTGGGCTCTCCCGGAATGATAACGGCGGCGGTGCTATCCTTCTTCTTGGATATTTCCTCCTCGGTGTCGCCCCAGGCCCCTTTAGCCACGGCCTCGATAGTGTAGAGGAGGCTCTCCAACTCCGACTCAGACGATGGTCGCTTTTTGAGGGTCTTTTTGGGTGAGCCGGGACGAGGGCTCTTGTCTTTGTCCACCGCTTTGGGTGGCTCTCTGGCACTAGCGTCTTTCTTCTTCTTTTTCTTTTTGACGCTAGCCACTTGGCCGCTGAGCAGCGGGGGACTGGCGTTGGTGGGCGTGGAGGAGGAAGAAGCTGAGGAAGACGGGGGAGAGGAGAGAGGAAAATCGGGGATGCTGCCCCCAGTCTCCTCCTTGACCACCGTCTCAGTTTTGATGTGTGGGGCGCAGGTATCGTCCTGTGTCTCCATCTTCCCTGCCTCGGAGGCCAAGCACATCTACACAAAACACAACAGTGAACATACATTAACATTTCAGAAGTCACATCAACGTGAAAGCGCTGGAGCTAACTATTAGTCATTTCCACTGTAGGGGTTTTGAAGATTTCAGTAATATCAAATGGACTTAAATGGATCCTTAAAGGTTTTGTGATGTAGGGACTGCAGTACCTCAGCGAGCTGGAAGAGAGCCGACTGGCTACACTGCTTTGCCTCCAGTGCAGTCGACTGGCTTGAATCAGAGGAGATCTGCTTTAATAGACAACAGAGGAGAATTAGACAAAATATCACTTTGCATCATAAAGACAATACTATAAAGCGCATGTAGTTGTGCAGAGTGGCAGACTTGAGACAGTGTAATGACTGTACCTCTGCCAGTTGAAAAAGAGGGGACTTGACGTTGATCTTGGATACGTCAGACTTTCCCTGCTGTGAGGTGCCAGACCACGTCTGAGGAAAAATGGGAACAAGAAAGAGAGAATGGATAAGGATCCTGGGATTATGTACCGGTATGTTCATATTTGTGACCTGTGTATATTTGTACTAAATAGTATGGTAGGTATATACACTGAATGCTTTCATTGTGCCCTCCCTTAAGGCATGCCCACACATTGGGAAGAGCCAATAGTGGTAGTATTGGCAGATTCTAATTTTGTTGATGTGGATTTCAGTAAGCAGGAAGGTACCCCACTTGGTTTAAAAAACAACTACTTAATAGCACATTAAAATAGCATGTAAAATGATAAAAGTACATACTCATGCAGTATGTAAGCATGCTGAGCAGTTGGCACCTCGCCTATGAATGTTACAGATCAATAACATTGTGGTCACAAATAGCCTTTTCCTGAGAATACCCACTTCTGCCTGGTCCCCGCGACTCAAGGGCTTTCCCTCGCCAGCTATGTCCGTTAAATTGGGCCGAAGCGTGCTGGAGGAGATCTGGAAAGGAACACACAATTGAGGGTTGGCTGACCCATTTCAACAGGAATGAGCCTCACTTCCTTTTCCCTATTGCAGCTTGATGTATTAGGCAGTCAGTCAGTCAGTCAGTGCAGGATCGGTCACAGAAAAGGCATAGTAGTGCCATCATTTTAGGGAATGGTATGATTTTATGTGGTGTATGTGGTGTGTTGGGTATAGTTGGGTTACTCTAAGAGAAAACTGAACCATTTCTATGCAAATAGATAATAAATGTAATGTAGGCAATTTTCTATACATCTATGCATATTGGCATAAAATCAACAAATTTGTGTCAGACTGCGGTTGCCGTGACAGCCCTACGAAATAGTGTTACAAGACGTTAAAGAGAACCATCCCATTCCAGGTGGTCTTACCTCAGCAAGTTGGAATAAGGAGGATTTCCCAGGGTGCTTAGTGACATCCGTGGCTCCAGACTTTGAGGAGCTGGAGGAAATCTGTGGAGGTTCAATTCACACTTCAATTCACACATTCACCACAAACATTTGAATAATGTGATCTTTGAATCTGCATCTCACAGTGCTTTTCCAACAAATGAGAGATTGACTTAAGTGCTGCAGATACACTACCGTTCAAAAGTGTGGGGTCACTTAGAAATGTCCTTGTTTTCGAAAGAAAAGCATTTTTTTGTCCATTAAAATAACATCAAATTGATCAGAAATACAGTGTAGACATTGTTAATGTTGTAAATGGCTATTGTAGCTGGAAATGGCTGATTTTTTATGGAATATCTACATAGGCGTACAGAGGCTCATTATCAGCAACCATCAGTCCTGTGTTCCAATGGCACGTTGTGTTTGCTAATCCAAGTTTATCATTTTAAAAGGCTAATTGATCATTAGAAAACCCTTTTGCAATTATGTTAGCACAACTGAAAACTGTTGTGCTGATTAAAGAAGCAATAAAACTGGCCTTCTTGAGACTAGTTGAGTATCTGGAGCATCAGCAATTGTGGGTTCGATTACAGGCTCAAAATGGCCAGAAATAAAGATCTTTCTTCTGAAACTCGTCAGTCTATTCTTGTTCTGAGAAATGAAGGCTATTCTATGCGAGAAATTGCCAAGAAACTGAAGATCTCGTACAAGACTGTGTACTACTCCCTTCACAGAACAGCGCAACCTAGCTCTAACCAGAATAGAAAGAGGAGTGTGAGGCCCCGGTGCACAACTGAGCAAGAGGACAAATAAACTCAGCAAAAAAAATTAACGTCCTCTCACTGTCAACTGCGTTTATTTTCAGCAAACTTAACATGTGTAAATATTTGTATGAACATAAAAAGATTCAACAACTGAGACATAAACTGAACAAGTTCCACAGACATGTGACTAACAGAAATTGAATAATGTGTCCCTGAACAAAGGGGGGGTCAAAATCAAAAGTAACAGTCAGTATCTGGTGTGGCCACCAGCTGCATTAAGTACTGCAGTGCATCTCCTCCTCATGGACTGCACCAGATTTGCCAGTTCTTGCTGTGAGATGTTACCCCACTCTTCCACCAAGGCACCTGCAAGTTCCCAGACATTTCTGGGGGGAATGGCCCTAGCCCTCACCCTCCGATCCAACAGGTCCCAGAGGTGCTCAATGGGATTGAGATCCAGGCTCTTCGCTGGCCATGGCAGAACACTGACATTCCTGTCTTGCAGGAAATCAAGCACAGAATGAGCAGTATAGCTGGTGGCATTGTCATGCTGGAGGGTCATGTCAGGATGAGCCTGCAGGAAGGGTACCACATGCGGGAGGAGGATGTGTTCCCTGTAACGCACAGCGTTGAGATTGCCTGCAATGACAACAAGTTCAGTCCGATGATGCTGTGACACACCGCCCCAGACCATGACGGACCCTCCACCTCCAAATCGATCCCGCTCCAGAGTACAGGCCTCGGTGTAACACTCATTCCTTCGACGATAAATGCGAATCCGACCATCACCCCTGGTGGGACAAAACCGCGACTCGTCAGTGAAGAGCACTTTTTGCCAGTCCTGTCTGGTCCAGCGACGGTGGGTTTGTGCCCATTGGCGACGTTGTTGCTGGTGATGTCTGGTGAGGACCTGCCTTACAACAGGCCTACAAGCCCTCAGTCCAGCCTCTCTCAGCCTATTGCGGACAGTCTGAGCACTGATAGAGGGATTGTGCGTTCCTGGTGTAACTCAGGCAGTTGTTGTTGCCATCCTGTACCTGTCCCACAGGTGTGACGTTCGGATGTACCGATCCTGTGCATGTGTTGCTACACATGGTCTGCCACTGCGAGGATGATCAGCTGTCCGTCCTGTCTCCCTGTAGCGCTGTCTTAGGCATCTCACAGTACAGACATTGCAATTTATTGCCCTGGCCACATCTGCAGTCCTCATGCCTCCTTGCAGCATGCCTAAGGCACGTTCACGCAGATGAGCAGGGACCCTGGCATCTTTCTTTTGGTGTTTTTCAGAGTCAGTAGAAAGGCCTCTTTAGTGTCCTAAGTTTTCATAACTGTGACCTTAATTGCCTACCATCTGTAAGCTGTTAGTGTCTTAACGACCGTTCCACAGGTGCATGTTCATTAATTGTTTATGGTTAATTGAACAAGCATGGGAAACACAACCCTTTACAATGAAGATCTGTGAAGTTATTTGGATTTTTACGAATTATCTTTGAAAGACAGGGTCCTGAAAAAGGGACGTTTCTAGTTTGAGAAACAGGCGCCTCACAGGTCCTCAACTGGCAGTTTCATGAAATAGTCCCCACAAAACACCAGTCTCAATAGTACCCGCAAAACACCAGTCTCAACGTCAACAGTGAAGAGGCGACTCATGGATGCTGACCTCTAGGCAGAGTTGCAAAGAAAAAGCCATATCTCAGACTGCCCATCTTAATCTTTTATTTTTATTGGCCAGTCTGAGATATGGCTTTTTCTTTGCAACTCTGCCTAGAAGGTCAGCATCCCGGAGTCGCCTCTTCACTGTTGACGTTGAGACTGGTGTTTTGCGGGTACTATTTAATGAAGCTGCCAGTTGAGGACCTGTGAGGCGCCTGTTTCTCAAACTAGACACTCTAAAGTATTTGTCCTCTTGCTCTGTTGCATACCGGGGCCTACCACTCCTCTTTCTATTCTGGTTAGAGCCAGTTTGCGCTGTTCTGTGAAGGGAGTAGTACACAGAGTTGTACGAGATCTTCAGTTTCTTGGCAATTTCTCGCATGGAATAGCCTTCATTTCTCAGAACAAGAATAGATTGACGAGTTACAGAAGAAAGTTATTTGTTTGTGGCCATTTTGAGCCTGTAATCGAACCCACAATTGCTGATTCTCCAGATACTCAACTAGTCTCAAGAAGGCCAGTTTTATTGCTTCTTTAATCAGCACAACAGTTTTCAGTTGTGCTAACATAATTGCAAAAGGGTTTTCTAATGATCAATTAGCCTTTTAAAATGATAAACTTGGATTAGCAAACACAACGTGCCATTGGAACAGAGGACTGATGGTTGCTGATAATGGGCTTCTGTACGCCTATGTAGATATTCCATAAAAAATTAGCCATTTCCAGCTACAATAGCCTTTACAACATTAACAATGCCTACACTGTATTTCTGATCAATATGATGTTATTTTAATGGACAAAAAAATAGCTTTTCTTTCGAAAACAAGGACATTTCTAAGTGACCCCAAACTTTTGAACGGTAGTGTATATTTCCACTGCAACGATGATTTCTAGATTAAAGTTGTGGTACAACATGGAATAGCTAAGTTTGACGAGTTACGAGTTGAAAAACCACTGGACTGGGACTTTACGTTATTTCATAAACCCTTATAACTCTGAGGTCCCCCCTGAATTGTTGCACTACAGCCCAGGACTTATACTAAACAAAGCTATAAACGCAACATGCAACAATTTCATTGATTTTACAGAGTTACAGTTCATTTGAGGAAATCAGTCAGTCAATGAAATAAATAAATTAGGCCTTAATCTATGGATTTCACATGACTGGGAATACAGATATGCATCTGTTGGTCACAGATACCTTAAAAAGAAATGGGCCTCACAATGGGCCTCAGGATCTTGTCGCTGTATTTTTGTGCATTCAAATTGCCATTGATAAAATGCAGTTGTGTTCATTGTCCGTAGCTTATGCCTGTCCATACCATAACCCCACGCCACCATGGGGCACTCTGTTCACAATGTTGACATCAGCGAACCGCTCGCCCACACGATGCAATACATGTGGTCTGCAGTTGTGAGACCGGTTGGACGTACTGCCAAATTCTCTAAAATGACGTTGGAGGCGGCTTATGGTAGAGAAATGAAAATTCAATTCTCTGGCAACAGCTCTGGTGGACATTCCTGGAGTTAACATGTCAATTGCACGCTCCCTCAAAACTTGAGACATCTGTGGCATTGTGTTGTGTGACAAAACTGCACATTTTAGAGTGGCCTTTTATTGTCCCCAGTACAAGGTGCACCTGTGTAATGATCATGTGGTTTAATCAACTTTGATATGCCACACCAGTCAGGTGGATGGATTATCTTGGCAAATGAGAAATGCTCACTAACAGGGATGTAAGCAAATTTGTGCACAACATTTTAGAGAAATAAGCTTTTGTGCACATGGAATATTTTTGGGATCTTTTATTTCAATTCATGAAACATGGGGCCAACACTTTACATGTTGTGTTTATATTTTTGTTCAGTGCAGTATGATGTGACATACCTCTCTGGCAGTAAGGGCATGCTCCCCAGCCAACAGTAGCATGCTTAGGCCACCCATCTTCGTGGGATCTGGGAAGGCACAAAATGAAGGCAAGTTGGGATGAATCTTTACTAATTTGACATTCATTCAGTGGCAGCTATGCTGAGACATGACATTCATATTTTATAAGCTGTTTTTCCCATCAATATGTCACTTGACGCACCTGCCATGGCGAAATTAAGCTGTGGTGTGCTGTCAGTCTTCGGCACTTTCTTGGCAGTGGCACAGCCCTTAGGGGAGTTGGAAGGGAAGGACCACACCTTTTTGCTTGCGTTGCTGACAGTGTGGCAGGGGCTCTTGACTGGCTTGTTGGTGGTGGGGCACCACTTATAGCCCGGGTTAGCCTTCATGAAGGCATCCTTGTACTGGAAGATGACAAGGTAGAAAGGTTAACAGCAAAATAAAAAGAAACAACAACTAATACCTACTATAGCAAAATGCATCATATACTGAAGAGGTTGTCTTAGTATGGCTAAGACACTCCAGTATTGTGTGATAATTTGTGTCTTTCAAATTAGTTTGCTTGTGATCCTGTGTTGGAACTCTTGATCAGCTCATTTGCTTGTCACACTGCACAAATCAGGGTTCATTCTCTCTGAACTCTGCCAGTCCATGAGGAAAAATAATCTGAATCTCCTCAAATGACTAAATAAAATGGAATGGTCTGTTTAGAGAAACAGAAAGGGGTGAATCCTAACTTCAGTGAAATGTTCACTTAGTCATGCATTGCTGTGAAAATGTTACTTAAATGGAAGTTAGGATTCGCCCCTAAGAGAATAAGAAACGTTTTACAGTTCCAGAACAGGGTTTTGGTGGTGCTAACCTCCTTGGCCATGTCTGTGTACTTCTGTTTCTCTTTGGGCTCCAGCACGGCCCACCAGTCAGCCAGGATCTTCGTGGCACCGCGGTTGTCCAGCCGAGGGTGCTCCTGCCTCACCAGCGAGCGGTGGCGCTTGCAGAAAAGCAGGAAGGCGTTCATGGGCCGGCGGGCCCGCTGCTCTGAAGAGTCCACCTCCATGGGCCCCCCGCATGCCACCTCCGGCCCCCGGCTCTCCCTGACCAGCAATGGCTCCTGTGGACAGATGCATCAGTGATAGATATTTCAATCTTTATCATCACTACCCCCATCACTATCATCATCATCATCATAACAATGGTAAGGCTCTATTGATTCAGTTGATATTTCTTTTGGAATAATTCAAATTTCCTTTTTGGGTATATCCATTTGAATTCAATCCGTTTTTGACACCATCCCTTTTGATTTAAACCAAACTTTCCATGCATATTTACCCATGGAAGAAGTGGTCAGAAAGTGACTTTTTGGACCTGAATAGCAAAACATTCAGGAGATAGAAATGCTCAAAGTTGACCCATTTTGCATACCCCACCATACTCATACCATGAGACATCCATGTCTTCATCATTTGACAAGTTAAACGGTTGACTTTGATATTTAAAAGCTTTCAAACAGGGTTCTCAAACTATTTAATTTCTTAAATGTCAATTATCAAAAAAACTTGTCAACTCAGATTTGTTTCATATTCGCATACGTTGTAGCTTAGACCCTACTTTACATCATCTGAGGTTTTTGTTGCGCCCGCCATCGGTTGAGACACAACATGCTCTTGAATACAGGGTGGGTGTAATTTAAAATCATAGAAATATAATTCATAGAATGGACCTATGCCTTCAGACCACTGCAATTTAGCTAGTACACCATTGAAATGTAAATTGAATTGACATTTTTACTTTTAATTACTACCACAAAGATGGCAACTGGTCCAACCACTGTCGGATGTCAACTTAAAATGGTAATGTCTATTGTATTATCTATATTTCTAGGATTGACAGTATAATTTTAAACATATATTCCCATTCAAGTCAACATTCTCTGGTGTGGACCTCCATCCATCTTTGTGGTACCATTTGAGAGTTGAAATGTACATTTTATTCCCATTTTAGTAAATGTATTAGCCAAAACATAACACCCACCCTGTATTCAAGAGCATGTTGTGTCTCAACCTAAGGCGGGCACAACACAACCTCAGATGATCTAAAATACGGTCTAAGCTACAACATATGCAAATATGCATAATTATTTATTTATTTTACTCATAAGGTAAAAAAAATGACAATTTGTTAAAAAACGTTTTAAAGAAATTATAAAATAGTTTGACAATGCTGTTTGTAAGCTTTTAAATAATATAAATCTCAACCGTTTATCTTTTCCAGTGGTGAAGACATGGATGTCTCATTGTATGTTGGTTGAGTATGTAAAATAAGTCAACTTTGAGCACCTTTATCTCTTGAATGTTTTGCCATTCAGGTCCAAAAAGTCACTTTCTGAGCACTTCTACAGTGGGCAAATACAGTGCCTTGTAAAAGTATTCATCCCCCTTCGCAATTTTTCCCTATTTTGTTGCATTACAACCTGTAATTTAACTTGATTTTATTTGGATTTCATGTAATGGACATACACAAAATAGTCCAAATTGGTGAAGTGGAATGAAAAAAAAAACTTGTTTAAAAAAATTCTAGAAAATGAATAACGGAAAAGTGGTCTGTGCATACAGTGAGGGAAAAAAGTATTTGATCCCCTGCTGATTTTGTACGTTTGCCCACTGACAAAGAAATCATCAGTCTATAATTTTAATGGTAGGTTTATTTGAACAATGAGAGACAGAATAACAACAACAAAATCCAGAAAAACGCATGTCAAAAATGTTATAAATTGATTTGCATTTTAATGAGGGAAATAAGTATTTGACCCCTCTGCAAAACATAACTTAGTACTTGGTGGCAAAACCCTTGTTGGCAATCACAGAGGTCAGACATTTCTTGTAGTTGGCCACCAGGTTTGCACACATCTCAGGAGGGATTTTGTCCCACTCCTCTTTGCAGATCTTCTCCAAGTCATTAAGGTTTCGAGGCTGACGTTTGGCAACTCGAACCTTCAGCTCCCTCCACAGATATTCTATGGGATTAAGGTCTGGAGACTGGGTAGGCCACTCCAGGACCTTAATGTGCTTCTTCTTGAGCCACTCCTTTGTTGCCTTGGCCATGTGTTTTGGGTCATTGTCATGCTGGAATAACCAATCCACTACCCATTTTCAATGCCCTGGCTGAGGGAAGGAGGTTCTCACCCACGATTTGACGGTACATGGCCCCGTCCATCGTCCCTTTGATGCGGTGAAGTTGTCCTGTCCCCTTAGCAGAAAAACACCCCCAAAGCATAATGTTTCCACCTCCATGTTTGATGGTGGGGATGGTGTTCTTGGGGTCATAGGCAGCATTCCTCCTCCTCCAAACACGGCGAGTTGAGTTGATGCCAAAGAGCTCGATTTTGGTCTCATCTGACCACAACACTTTCACCCAGTTCTCCTCTGAATCATTCAGATGTTCATTGGCAAACTTCAGACGGCCCTGTATATGTGCTTTCTTGAGCAGGGGGACCTTGCAGGCGCTGCAGGATTTCAGTCGTTCACGGCGTAGTGTGTTACCAATTGTTTTCTTGGTGACTATGGTCCCAGCTGCCTTGAGATCATTGACAAGATCCTCCCGTGTAGTTCTGGTCTGATTCCTCACCGTTCTCATGATCATTGCAACTCCACGAGGTGAGATCTTAAATGGAGCCCCAGGCCGAGGGAGATTGACAGTTCTTTTGTGTTTCTTCCATTTGCGAATAATCGCACCAACTGTTGTCACCTTCTCACCAAGCTGCTTGGCGATGGTCTTGTAGCCCATTCCAGCCTTGTGTAGGTCTACAATCTTGTCCCTGACATCCTTGGAGAGCTCTTTGGTCTTGGCCATGGTGGAGTTTGGAATCTGATTGATTGCTTCTGTGGACAGGTGTCTTTTATACAGGTAACAAGCTGAGATTAGGAGCACTCCCTTTAAGAGTGTGCTCCTAATCTCAGCTCGTTACCTGTATAAAAGACACCTGGGAGCCAGAAATCTTTCTGATTGAGAGGGGGTCAAATACTTATTTCCCTCATTAAAATGCTAATCAATTTATAACATTTTTGACATGCATTTTTCTGGATTTTTTTGTTGTTATTCTGTCTCTCACTGTTCAAATAAACCTACCATTACAATTATAGACTGATCATTTCTTTGTCAGTGGGCAAACGTACAAAATCAGCAGGGGATCAAATACTTTTTTCCCTCACTGTATGTATTCACCACCTTTGCTATGAAGCCCCTAAATAAGATCTGGTGCAACCAATTACCTTCAAAAGTCACATAATTAGTTAAATAAAGTCCACCTGTGTGCAATCTAAGTGTCACATGATCTGTCACATGATCTCAGTATATATACACAACTGTTCTGAAAGGCCCCAGAGTCTGCAACACCACTAAGCAAGGGGCACCACCAAGCAAGCTGCACCATGAAGACCAAGGAGCTCTCCAAACAGGTCAGGGACAAAGTTGTGGAGAAGTACAGATCAGGGTTGGGTTATAAAAAAATATTCGAAACTTTGAACATCCCACGGAGCACCATTAAATCCATTATTAAAAAATGTAAAGAATATGGCACCAAAACAAACCTGCCAAGAGAGGGCCGCCCACCAAAACTCACGGACCAGGCAATGAGGGCATTAATCAGAGAGGCAACAAAGACACCAAAGATAACCCTGAAGCAGCTGCAAAGCTCCACAGCGGAGATTGGAGTATCTGTCCATAGGACCACTTTAAGCCGTACACTCCACAGAGCTGGGCTTTACGGAAGAGTGGCCAGAAAAAAGCCATTGCTTAAAGAAAAAAATAAGCTAAACACGTTTGGTGTTCGCCAAAAGGCATGTGGGAGACTCCCCAAACATATGGAAGAAGGTACTCTGGTTAGATGAGACTAAAATTGAGCTTTTTGGCCATCAAGGAAAACGCTATGTCTGGAGCAAACCCAACACCTCTCATCACCCCGAGAACACCATCCCCACAGTGAAGCATGGTGGTGGCAGCATCATGCTGTGGGGATGTTTTTCATCGGCAGGGACTGGGAAACTGGTCAGAATTGAAGGAATGATGGATGGCGCTAAATACAGGGAAATTCTTGAGGGAAACCTGTTTCATTCTTCCAGAGATTTGAGACTGGGACGGAGGTTCACCTTCCAGCAGGACAATGACCCTAAGCATACTGCTAAAGCAACACTCGAGTGGTTTAAGGGGAAACATTTAAATGTCTTGGAATGGCCTAGTCAAAGCTCAGACCTCAATCCAATTGAGAATCTGTGGTATGACTTAAAGATTGCTGTACACCAGCGGAACCCATCCAACTTGAAGGAGCTGGAGCAGTTTTGCCTTGAAGAATGGGCAAAAATCCCAGTGGCTAGATGTGCCAAGCTTTTAGACACAAACCCCAAGAGATTTGCAGCTGTAATTGCTGCAAAAGGTGGCTCTTTTTGCAAAAAATTGCATCTTCAAAGTGGTAGGCATGTTGTGTAAATCAAATGATACATACCCCCAAAAAATCCATTTTAATTCCAGGTTGTAAGGCAACAAAGTAGGAAAAATGCCAAGGGGGGGGGGGGGGGGGTGAATACTTTCGCAAGCCACTGTATATATATGGTTTCGTTCAAATCAAATGGGGTGCTGTCAAAAAGTGATTGAATTCAAATGGATTTACCCTTTTTTTATGACAGAAAATGAAAGTGAATACTTCTAGACTACATAAAAACCTAGTTATCAAAAATAGTGAATATCTCACTTAAAAAGTTCATATTCTGTAATGGTTGTTGACACATCCTATACTCCTATGTCGCCAAAGCATAAGTTGGAGAAAATCAAAACACTTACAAAACCCTACCTCAAACTTGTATCTTAAATAGACCATTTAAAAGGTCCAATGCAGCCATTTTTATCTCAATATCATTTCTGGGTAACATTTAAGTACCTTGTTTTTTAATTTAAATGGTCAAAAATAAACAAAAATAGCTTCTTAGCAAAGAGCAAGTTCTCAAGCAAGAATTTAGCTAGGACTGTCTAGGAGTGGTGTGAGTGGGGAGGGGAAAACTGAAAACGTTCTGTTATTGGCAGAGAGTTTTGAAAACTCCATCCCAGCAAAACCGGCTGAAATTTCAGGCGGACTTTTCAAACAGCTCTTACACTAGAAGGGCATCATCATTTTCACAATTCCACAGTACTATTCCAAACCTCATAGTGTGGAAAAGCCTCCTTGTAGCTCAGTTGGTAGAGCATGGCGTTTGCAACGCCAGGGTTGTGGGTTCGTTTCCCACGGGGGGCCAGTATGGAAATGTATGCACTCACTAACTGTAAGTCGCTCTGGATAAGAGCATCTGCTAAATGACTAAAATGTAAAAATGAAATAAATTGATACACAAAACACAGGAAAATCACGTTTTAGACAGCACTGGGCCTTTAAGAAATGCTTGCCATTTCCTCATAGAACATGATGACGTGTTGGCTCATTGGTTGAGCTTGCCAATCAGCGGTATACTTGCATCAATATTTAGGTAATTTTTCATAGAAATCTGGAAACACTGGACAGTTACTTTAATGTTTCAATCATATTTTACACAAGGTATGTGGGTCATTCCACAAAATGAGTGCCTTGTGTCCCCATTAGATATTTTAAGTAGAAATTGTGCACAAATATTTAATAAGAAAAACATGTCTCTCATTTTAAGGTCAACCCTGTTATGTGAACTGAACTCTCGTTTTAATATGGTTGAAACTATTCCTTAAAAAAAAAAAATTCTAAAGAAACATTTAACATCTTATAGTCAAATCATGGTGTAAAAGCAGTTAAGCTAGTTCTACTCTTTTTGGTGATTTTCTGGTGTTTTGTGGTGGAAAACTGAGCGGGTTGACCACATCAACCCTGTTATCCATAGACAGGCTTGAAATGTTTTAACAATTCAATTTTTTTTGTGAAGCTTGCATTCTTGCCACTCCCTGTTGCAAACAACAAGCTTCCATTCCCCCCAGTCACAAGGGGTTTTATGGATGATTTAAGATGAAGTCGTCAACCCTGTTACTTTATTTGACACTTAATTGGCACTTACTATACTCATGTTTTTATTTAACCTCTTGAGATGGGAAAACATGTTTTTTATTAAGTTGAACATGTACTCTTTATGACAGAATGTTATAATCAGGTTACACTACTCAAAAGGCACCTAAATTGGTGGAACGACCCATTTACTATACACAGTGTACAAAACATTAGGAACACCTTCCTGATATTGCATTGCACCCCCTTTTGCCCTAAGAACATGTTCAATTCGTCAGGGCATGGACTCTACAAGGTGTCAAGCGTTCCACAGGGATGCTGGCCCATGTTGACTCCAATGCTTCCCACAGTTGTGTCAAGTTGGCTGGATGTCCTTTGGGTGGTGGACCGTTCTTGATACACACGGGAAGCTGTTGAGCGTGGAAAAACCCAGCAGCGTTGCAGTTCTTGACACACTCAAACCTGTGTGCCTGGCACCTACTACCATACCCCGTTCAAAGGCACTTAAATATTTTGTCTTGCCCATTCACCCTCTGAATGGCACACATACACAATCCATGTCTCAGCTGTCTCAAGTCTTAAAAATCCTTCTTTAACCGGTCTCCTCCCCTTCATCTACACTGATTGAAGTAGATTTAACAAGTGACATCAATGAGGGATCATAGCTTTCACCTGGATTCACCTGGTCAGTCCATGTCATGGACAGAGCAGGAGTCCTTAATGTTTTGTATACTCAGTGTTTATCAAATTGAATGGGAATTAAATCAGCGATTCCCAATTCAATTCAGAATTGACGCCTAACCCAGATACAAATTGTTTTAACATGATCAGAAACAATGAGGGACTTCAAATCTTATGGATGCATCAGCCTCGCACATCCTTTCAGACCAGCACTGTCTGTCTGGCCCCACAGCCAGCCAGGGAGAGATACTTCATAGAGGGTGTAAAGTGCTGAGGCTGGTGGTTCTATACTGGAGTCAGAGGTCACTGCATCATATACAGTGAACTAACAATAGACTGTTGTACATGTATCATAGAGCAAGTACAGGGTCATGTTCAGTAGGTCCGAAACTATCTGTCCTTGACCAATAAGAAATGCTCTTTCATTTCAAAACGTGCCTACTGAATGCATCCCCGATCTGCAAAAAAAGATGCTCACCTTCTCCAGTTCTTCTTCGTCCTCCTCCTCTTCCTCCTCCGAGAAGTCCAGGGCCTTCTTGGAGAGTAGCGGGTGCCATTGTAGACACTTGCGCTTGGGCCGCTTGCCGCTCACCTCCACCTCCACCGGAGGCTCCTTACCCCTTCCGCCACCTTTCATGGCGCTGCCAAGCCTGGAGGGGGGAGAAAGATAGTCAGAGTTCACTCATAACTTAGGGTGGCATAGGATCAAGTTCCGTTTAGACGCTGATCTTGGGTCAGTTATCCCCACTAATGCTTAAAGCTGAGATCTGCGAAACAGCGCCACTGGCCACCCCACCAGAGTTATTGTTTTTGTTGCCGAGATGAGCGTAGTGCAACATGGTAAAAAAAAAGATGTCCGAGGGGGAAAAAACAGTGTTTGTTGTTTGCAGTTACTTCTTTGTTGTTGTAATATCACAAATGGACACGAAGTTTCACCATTAAGGATTGACGCTTTAAGGTTAGGATTGGGGAGGGGAAGCTGATGCCAGATCTTTACGTAGGTGAAATTCATGCCGGAGCATTTGGGGTTGGGTTTTGTTGAGCGCACTGATCAATGACTTTGTAAGTAGCACTGTACAAATACATTGGATTGATTATTGACTGAATTCTTTAGTCTCTTGAGCAACTGCTGGTGGTGGCCATAGTGGTAACAGAGACTAAAGGTTAAAGGTCATGAAAGAGTGTTCCCTTAAATTAGGCACCCTGACCAGGACTCAAACAGTGGCCCCTGTGACTGTCATTCCAAAACCATTATATTATACCAAAACGCTAAAATCTCTTGGTAAAGTCACTAGGTGTTGCACTAAGATACAGAATTAGCAGCAGTCATTTATTCATCCAGTAAAGTGAGGCTGCCATTTCAAAAGTACTTTGAGACTGAACTCCAGACTGCCCATGTCTCTAATTGGCTGATGGCATCATAACAATTTTCCACAGGCCACAGCCAGGGTGTGGTCAATGGAGTGCACAATTCTAAGTGTAGATATGCTTGCAGAAAAGTTTAGATTTCTTGTGTGTGTGGTGCAATGCCATTTAGCAGACGCTTTTATCCAAAGCAACTTAGTCATGCGTGCATACATTTTACATATGGGTGGCCCTGAACCCATAACCATTAGATTCTACACTTCTATACTTGGGTATAGCGAGAACCTGTGTTTTAGGGCAAGTTGTGATACCACAGCATTTGATCAGATTAACTGACATCTGTGTGTACAGTGAGGGAAAAAAGTATTTGATCTCCTGCTGATTTTGTAGGTTTGCCCACTGACAAAGACATGATCAGTCTATAATTTTAATGGTAGGTTTATTTGAACAGTGAGCGACAGAATAACAACAAAAAAATCTAAAAGGTTTCGAGGCTGACGTTTGGCAACTCGAACCTTCAGCTCCCTCCACAGATTTTCTATGGGATTAAGGTCTGGAGACTGGCTAGGCCACTCCAGGACCTTAATGTGCTTCTTCTTGACCACTCCTTTGTTGCCTTGGGCATGTGTTTTGGGTCATTGTCATGCTGGAATACCCATCCACGACCCATTTTCAATGCCCTGGCTGAGGGAAGGAGGTTCTCACCCAAGATTTGACGGTACATGGCCCCATCCATCATCCCTTTGATGCGGTGAAGTTGTCCTGTCCCCTTAGCAGAAAAACACCCCCAAAGCATAATGTTTCCCCCTCCATGTTTGACGGTGGGGATGGTGTTCTTTGGGTCATAGGCAGCATTCCTCCTCCTCCAAACACGGCGAGTTGAGTTGATGCCAAAGAGCTCGATTTTGGTCTCATTTGACCACAACACTTTCACCCAGTTCTCCTCTGAATCATTCAGATGTTCATTGGCAAACTTCAGACGGCCCTGTATATGTGCTTTCTTGAGCAGGGGGACCTTGCGGGCGCTGCAGGATTTCAGTCCTTCACGGCGTAGTGTGTTACCAATTGTTTTCTTGGTGACTATGGTCCCAGCTGCCTTGAGATCATTGACAAGATCCTCCCGTGTAGTTCTGGGCTGATTCCTCACCGTTCTCATGATCATTGCAACTCCATGAGGTGAGATCTTGCATGGAGCCCCAGGCCGAGGGAGATTGACAGTTCTTTTGTTTCTTCCATTTGCGAATAATCGCACCAACTGTTGTCACCTTCTCACCAAGCTGCTTGGCGATGGTCTTGTAGCCCATTCCAGCCTTGTGTAGGTATACAATCTTGTCCCTGACATCCTTGGAGAGCTCTTTGGTCTTGGCCATGGTGGAGAGTTTGGAATCTGATTGATTGATTGCTTCTGTGGACAGGTGTCTTTTATACAGGCAACAAGCTGAGATTAGGAGCACTCCCTTTAAGAGTGTGCTCCTAATCTCAGCTCGTTACCTGTATAAAAGACACCTGGGAGCCAGAAATCTTTCTGATTGAGAGGGGGTCAAATACTTATTTCCCTCATTAAAATGCGAATCAGTTTATAACATTTTTGACATGCGTTTTCAGGATTTTTTTGTTGTTATTCTGTCTCTCACTGTTCAAATAAACCTACCATTAAAATTATAGACATCATTTCTTTGTCAGTGGGCAAACGTACAAAATCAGCAGGGGATCAAATACTTTTTTCCCTCACTGTATTTACTCTATGGTAAAGGTATGCAGTATCTATCCTTCAATTTCTGTAAATTACCTACTTTATTCAATTCTTTAAGAATGTAGTGAAGTAAAAGTTGTCAAAAATATAAATAGTAAAGTAAAGTACAGATACCCCAAAAAATTACATAAGAAGTACTTTAAAGTATTTTTACTTAAGCACTTTACACCACTGCAGACTGTCAGCTTTAATTTGAGGGTATTTTCATCCACACCGGTGAACCGTTTAGAAATTACAGCACTTTTTGTACATACTGTAGTTCTCCCCCCACCCCCATTTTAGGGAACCAAAAGTATTTGTTTCAAATCCAAACTGCTGGACTACAGAGACAAAACAACAAAACATGTGTCACTGTCCAAATACTTTTGGACCTTACTGTATGTGAAAACGGCGCGTTTCTATGATCTGTTGTTAAAAAGATAGGAAGGTCCTAGAAAATGCTTCTGTGACATCACAGGGTAGGATTAAGGGTGCGTTCGTAAATTTACTCTGGCTATCTACTCCGATATAAGAGCACTCTCGTCTGAGTGTGCAGAATAACTGATGAATTTACGAACGTGCAACTAGGGCTGTTACGGTGACCGTATTACTGCCAGAACGGTGGTCACGAGTCATGATGGCAGTCAAATTCCATGTGACCGTTTAGTCAAGGTAATTAGGCTTCTCCAAGCTCCAATGCTGCTCATGGTCATTAGTAGCCTACCAAACTTGCTAACTACCTGGTACTCAGCACTCTATTGTCCCTCTAATCACTCTGACATCAATGCAAATGTGATCGAAAAACTAATCAAACACTTCATGAGAGCCCATGAGCTCATGTTGCACAGCATTTCTATTGGCTATGCAATTGCGTGAGAAAACAGAGTGATGGGCCTCCATCAGCTTTCTATAGGCTAGGCCTACTATATTTATTTCTCAACCTTCCTAATATTAAGCATATTGCTTGTCTTTAAAACAGGAGTATAGCCTACCTGGCTGGCACGAAAATGAACCATGGGAAAAGCGTCCTCCATTAGCTATTTAAGTGCATAGATCACATGTATTTTTTTCCGCTGCCCCTGTTTCGAGACAGGTGCATGATAATGGTCCATTCTAAATCAAAACAAATTTCACACATATATTATTTAGTATTTGTAAAGACGAGATTAAATCAACAATAGTCTGATGGGTGACAATATTAGCCTATCACTTGTGAATCATAATTGATCACTTGTGAATGATGCACAGCTTAAGGCAAACAGCGCATGTTTTTTTTGCGACTTTTTCAAATCATAGTCGCACACTTCATGTAGCCTAGCCCATAGCCCTATATGTTTGATAAAGTTTGTATCACAACTAAAGTGGTCAAATAACTTCTTAAAATGAAGCACATTAATTCATTTTACAATGGGTGTAGAGCCTAACTGGCATACATACGCAGCGCGTGAGTTTCAAGTTTGGGGAAGATAATTTTCACCATAAATATGCACCTTAATAATAAAAGCATTACATGCATAATCACATTTGTGGTTTGAGAATGGTGTTTTCCTGCTAATGGAACATTCGCGCTTATAGCTTACTGCCGTGTGCGCATTGCTGCGCTTATAACGGAAGAAATAGCCTAATAGTTTATCAACATTTTAAGCTAAATGTTCTCATCTGTTGTGTCAGGCTCATTGATTAAAACATATTTTTTGATGTTAGTGGTTGTATTAATTTGGGATCTATCACATCCCACAACACGGGAGCGCTCTGGAGCAGGTTTTCATCAATGACCTTTCTGTACTTTGCTCCGTTCATCTTTGCCTTTATCCTGACTAGTCTTCCAGTCCCTGCCGCTGAAAAACATCCCCACAGCATGATGCTGCCACCACCATGCTTCACCGTAGGGATGGTGCCTAGTTTCCTCCAGACGTGACACTTGGCAGTCTGGCTAAAGAGTTCAATCTTGGTTTCATCAGACCAGAGAATCTTGTTTCTCGTGGTCTGAGGGTCTTTAGGTGCCTTTTGGCAAACTCCAAGCGGGCTGTCATGTGCCTTTTACTGAAGAGTGACTTCCGTCTATCATAAAGGCCTGATTGTTGGAGTACTGCAGATATGGTTGTCCTTCTGGAAGGTTCTCCCATCTCCACAGAGAAACTCTAGAGCTCTGTCAGAGTGACCATCATGTTCTTGGTCACCTCCCTGACCAAGACCCTTCTCCCTCGATTGCTCAGTTTGGCCGGGAGGCCAGCTCTAGGAAGAGTCTTGGTGTTTCCAAACTTCTTCCATTTAAGAATGATGGAGGCCAGTGTGTTCTTGGGGACCTTCAATGCTGCAGAAATGTTTTGGTACCCTTCCCCAGATCTGTGCCTCGACACAATCCTGTCTCGGAGCTCTACGGACAATTCCTTCCACCTCATGGCTTGGTTTTTGCTCTGACATGCACTGTCAACTGTGGGACATTATATAGACAGGTGTGTGCCTTTCCATATCATTTCCAATCAATTGAATTTACCACAGGTGGACTCCAATCAAGTTGTAGAAACATCTCAAGGATGATCAATGGAAACAGGATGCACCTGAGCTCAATTTCAAATCTCATAGCAAAGGGTCTGAATACCTTTTCTTATTTTTATTTTATTTAAATTTGCAAAAATGTCTAAAAACCTTTTTTCGCTCTGTCATTATGGGGTATTGTGTGTAGATTGCTGAGGATATTTTTTTAATTGAATCAATTTTAGAATAAGGCTGTAACGTAACAAAATGTGGAAAAAGTCAAGGGGTCTGAATACTTTCCGAAGGCACTGTATAGCTCAACATTTGTATAATAATATAATATAATATAATGTGCCATTTAGCAGACGCTTTTATCCAAAGCGACTTACAGTCATGCGTGCATAATTTTTTTTTTTTTGTGCATGTGTGTTCCCGGGGATCGAACCCACTACCTTGGCGTTACAAGCGCCGTGCTCTACCAGTTACATACAGTGGGGAGAAGAAGTATTTGATACACTGCCGATTTTGCAGGTTTTCCTACTTACAAAGCATGTAGAGGTCTGTAATTTTTATCATAGGTACACTTCAACTGTGAGAGACGGCATCTAAAACAAAAATCCAGAAAATCACATTGTATGATTTTTAAGTAATTAATTTGCATTTTATTGCATGACATAAGTATTTGATCACCTACCAACCAGTAAGAATTCCGGCTCTCACAGACCTGTTAGTTTTTCTTTAAGAAGCCCTCCTGTTCTCCACTCATTACCTGTATTAACTGCACCTGTTTGAACTCATTACCTGTATAAAAGACACCTGTCCACACACTCAATCAAACAGACTCCAACCTCTCCACAATGGCCAAGACCAGAGAGCTGTGTAAGGACATCAGGGATAAAATTGTAGACCTGCACAAGGCTGGGATGGGCTACAGGACAATAGGCAAGCAGCTTGGTGAGAAGGCAACAACTGTTGGCGCAATTATTAGAAAATGGAAGAAGTTAAAGATGACGGTCAATCACCCTCGGTCTGGGGCTCCATGCAAGATCTCACCTCGTGGGGCATCAATGATCATGAGGAAGGTGAGGGATCAGCCCAGAACTACACGGCAGGACCTGGTCAATGACCTGAAGAGAGCTGGGACCACAGTCTCAAAGAAAACCATTAGTAACACACTACAACGTCATGGATTAAAATCCTGCAGCGCACGCAAGGTCCCCCTGCTCAAGCCAGCGCATGTCCAGGCCCGTCTGAAGTTTGCCAATGACCATCTGGATAATCCAGAGGAGGAATGGGAGAAGGTCATGTGGTCTGATGAGACAAAAATATAGTTTTTTGGTCTAAACTCCACTCGCCGTGTTTGGAGGAAGAAGAAGGATGAGTACAACCCCAAGAACACCATCCCAACCGTGAAGCATGGAGGTGGAAACATCATTCTTTGTGGATGCTTATCTGCAAAGGGGACAGGATGACTGCACCGTATTCAGGGGAGGATGGATGGGGCCATGTATCGCAAGATCTTGGCCAACAACCTCCTTCCCTCAGTAAGAGCATTGAAGATGGGTCGTGGCTGGGTCTTCCAGCATGACAACGACCCGAAACACACAGCCAGGGCAACTAAGGAGTGGCTCCGTAAGAAGCATCTCAAGGTCCTGGAGTGGCCTAGCCAGTCTCCAGACCTGAACCCAATAGAAAATCTTTGGAGGGAGCTGAAAGTCCGTATTGCCCAGCGACAGCCCCGAAACCTGAAGGATCTGGAGAAGGTCTGTATGGAGGAGTGGGCCAAAATCCCTGCTGCAGTGTGTGCAAACCTGGTCAAGACCTACAGGAAACGTTTGATCTCTGTAATTGCAAACAAAGGTTTCTGTACCAAATATTAAGTTCTGCTTTTCTGATGTATCAAATACTTATGTCATGCAATAAAATGCAAATTAATTACTTAAAAATCATACAATGTGATTTTCTGGATTTTTGTTTTAGATTCCGTCTCTCTCAGTTGAAGTGTACCTATGATAAAAATTACAGACCTCTACATGCTTTGTAAGTAGGAAAACCTGCAAAATCAGCAGTGTATCAAATACTTGTTCTCCCCACTGTAAATAACTCTGCATTAAGCATATAGGAGTACCTGAATAGCCGCAACACAGAATAGCCGCATGTGCGCACTCCCTCAAATCGTTTAGAGAAAATATCCTTTCAATTTTATTCAGCTATGTTCAATTGTATTCTTCATACTATAAAATAATGCTACGGCATTCTAAGCAAATCTTGTCTGATAAATTAACTAGTTTAGCCCACAGCCATTTGGCATAGCCAGATCAGGGCCTAACATTTACGTTTAAGGACAACGCAGAGTATGCTAATTTCATGACCGCCACAGCCCTATGTGCAACACCCATTGAATATTACAGGTGTCAGTAAAAGTCAGCAAAAAATCGTTATTAAATTGTTGCCAGCAGCACAGTTAGAGTCACCAACGCTCTAGATAACATGAAAACAGCCTAACCAGCTCTGGGTGAGTAAAATGTGAGGTATTCTCTCATCTGTGTATGGAAGTATCTAGCAAGCAAGCCACATTTAGCCAGTTAGCATGGATTCTTGACTGCCGTTGTGAGGTCAGAACTCTTGGATCAACCCTCCTCCTCGGCCAGAGCGCCCAGTGTGCACCCTGAACGCTCCGAGAGCAAATGAAAGCTCAGAGCGAAGCGCTCTGAATTTACAAATGGACAATATGTCAATGCTCTGAATTTAAGAATGACCAGAGCGCACTCAACGCACTCTGGCACTTCAGAGGGAATTTACGAACACACCTTTAAAGTAAATGGGGAGTGTATTTTCTTCATCCCACATCACCAAGAATCTCAGTGTTTAAAAATCACTTTTGTAAATGTCTTAACTTTTGAACCTGAAGAAGGCACAGTGATGCCGAAACGTTGGTGATTTACCCAATAAATTACTGGGAGTTATATATATATATATATATATATAGAACCAGTCAAAGGTTTGGACACACTTACTATTTTCTACATTGTAGAATAATAATGAAGACATCAAAACTATGAAATAACACATATGGAATCATGTAGTAACCAAAAGTGTTCAACAAATAAAAATATATTTTATATTTGAGATTCTTCAAATAGCCACCCTTTGCCTTGATGACAGCTTTGCACACTCTTGGCATTCTCTCAACCAGCTTCACCTGGAATTATTTTCCAACAGTCTTGAAGGAGTTCTCACATATGCTGAGAACTTGTTGGCTGCTTTTCCTTCACTCTGCTGTCCGACTCATCCCAAACCATCTCAATTGGGTTGAGGTCGGGGGATTGTGGAGGCCAGGTCATCTGATGCAGCACTCCATCACTCTCCTTATTGGTAAAATACCCCTTACACAGCCTGGAGGTGTTTTGGGTCATTGTCCTGTTGAAAAATAAATGATAGTCCCACAAAGCCCAAACTAGATGGGATGGCATATCGCTGCAGAATGCTGTGGTAGCCATGCTGGTTAAGTGTGACTTGAATTCTAAATAAATCACAGACAGTGTCACCAGCAAAGCACCCCCACACCATAACACCTCCTCCTCCATGCTTTACGGTGGGAACCACACATGCAGAGATCATCCGTTCACCCACACCGCGTCTCACAAAAACTTGGCGGTTGGAACCAAAAATCTCAAACTTGACTCCAGACCAATGGACAAATTTCCACCGGTCTAATGTCTATTGCTCGTGTTTCTTGGCCCAAGCAAGTCTCTTCTTATTATTGGTGTCCTTTAGTAGTGGTTTCTTTGCAGCAATTCGACCATGAAGGCCTGATTCACACAGTCCCCTCTGAACAGTTGATGGTGAGATGTGTCTGTGACTTGAACTCTGTGAAGCATTTATTTGGGCTGCAATTTCTGAGGCTGGTAACTGTAATGAACTTATCCTCTGCAGCAGAGGTAACTCTGGGTCTTCCATTCCTGTGGCGGTCCTCATGAGAGCCAGTTTCATCATAGCACTTGATGGTTTTTGCGACTGCACTTTCAAAGTTCATGAAATGTTCCGTATTGATTGACCTTCATGTCTTAAAAGTAATGATGGACTGTTGTTTCTTTTTACTTATTTGAGCTGTTCTTGCCATAATATGGACTTGGTATTTTACCAAATAGGGCTATCTTCTACCTTGTCACAACACAACTGATTGGCTCAAAGGCATTAAGAAGGAAAGAAATTCCACAAATTAACTTTTAAGAAGGCACACCTGTTAATTGAAATGCATTCCAGGTGACTACCTCATGAAGCTGGTTGAGAGAATGCCAAGAGTGTGCAAAGCTGTCATCAAGGCAAAGGGTGGCTATTTGAACAATCTCAAATATAAAATATATTTTTATTTGTTGAACACTTTTGGTTACTACGTGATTCCATATGTGTTATTTCATAGTTTTGATGTCTTCACTATTATTCTACAATGTAGAAAATAGTAAAAATAAAGAAAAACCCTTGAATGGTACTAATATAATATATATATATATATACACACAGTACCAGTCAAAAGTTTGGACACACCTACTCATTCAAGGGTTTTTCTTTATTTTTACTATTTTCGACAATAGTAAAAATAAAGAAAAAACTTTTAATGAGTAGGTGTGTCCAAACTTTTGACTATATATATATATAGTACCAGAGAGAGAGGAGAGACTCTCCTTATAGCTTACATTTTATGCACCGTTAGTCAGCACCTCTACACTAAATAATTATCTCTGGGTGTGCGCCAGCTCATGCTTTTTATTAACTTTTGTGATGTCATCGGGTAGAACTTTTGAATGTCATATTTTCTTTCTACAAAACTTAGAAATGCACCGTTTTCACATATGTAGACACTGGTATAGTGCTGGAGATAATGAAATGAGGTTGAAAAGTGGTGTAATTGCCCTTTAAAAATAGTAATATTCAAATACCCATCACACTATACATTTAATAATTACAGGTTGCATTTCAAACATCATGTGCAGTAAAAACGTTTGTATGACAAATTATTTTATCGATAGGAAAAAAGGGAGCTCTTTGATAAGCACACCAAAGACGCCAAGAATGATACGCGTAAATAAAAGGACAGCACTTCTAATAGCTTATTTGCAGGATAACTTTTCTTTCATATTGATTAAGACATGTTTAAATGTGGCACTGAGTAGCTCTTGGATTGCTGTTTCAGCATTGTCTCAATGAAGAGTTTGGTGTTCGACTCGCTGGGCTATGCACGCGCGGTTACATGCCTAACTTGAGTTAGCGGCAGGTACAACATCAATATCCACCTTCCTAAAATGGATGAAGCCCGAGTTGGAATGTGAATCTAACCGAAGCTAAAAAAATCCTGAATAGATCTAGCTAGCATCGTAGTATACACCTCAGGACTTTGATAGACACTTGCCTCTAAGTTCCTTAAAAGGAGCAATCCACGGTTGAAACAATAACAAAGCAGACTCCCCACCACTCTTTCAGTAAAAAGCTGAGGGATGGGGCTGGATAAATGTAACCACTCAAATTCATGGATAGAGCTACGGATGCAAGGACCGACCACCCATTATATAATTTTTTTTGAGGCTATACAGTGTTTGTTTACATTTGCTTTGTTTACAAACATTGGAGTAAAACAAGCTTATATTTTGGGTTCTGATTGGGGACGACAGTTGAACTAAGCTCATGAGGCATTTATAAAAGTTATATTCTTCAAGAATCAATGGGTACATATCATTAATTAAAAGTCCCAAAATGGATGTAGCAGCTGCAGATTGCCCCTTTAATCCACCATATACAGTGGGGGAAAAAAGTATTTAGTCAGCCACCAATTGTGCAAGTTCTCCCACTTAAAAAGATGAGAGAGGCCTGTAATTTTCATCATAGGTACACGTCAACTATGACAGACAAATTATGGTGGAAAATAAGTATTTGGTCACCTACAAACAAGCAAGATTTCTGGCTCTCACAGACCTGTAACTTCTTCTTTAAGAGGCTCCTCTGTCCTCCACTCGTTACCTGTATTAATGGCACCTGTTTGAACTTGTTATCAGTATAAAAGACACCTGTCTACAACCTCAAACAGTCACACTCCAAACTCCACTATGGCCAAGACCAAAGAGCTGTCAAAGGACACCAGAAACAAAATTGTAGACCTGCACCAGGCTGGGAAGACTGAATCTGCAATAGGTAAGCAGCTTGGTTTGAAGAAATCAACTGTGGGAGCAATTATTAGGAAATGGAAGACATACAAGACCACTGATAATCTCCCTCGATCTGGGGCTCCACGCAAGATCTCACCCCGTGGGGTCAAAATGATCACAAGAACGGTGAGCAAAAATCCCAGAACCACACGGGGGGACCTAGTGAATGACCTGCAGAGAGCTGGGACCAAAGTAACAAAGCCTACCATCAGTAACACACTACGCCGCCAGGGACTCAAATCCTGCAGTGCCAGACGTGTCCCCCTGCTTAAGCCAGTACATGTCCAGGCCCGTCTGATGTTTGCTAGAGTGCATTTGGATGATCCAGAAGAGGAATGGGAGAATGTCATATGGTCAGATGAAACCAAAATAGAACTTTTTGGTAAAAACTCAACTCGTCGTGTTTGGAGGACAAAGAATGCTGAGTTGCATCCAAAGAACACCATACCTACTGTGAAGCATGGGGGTGGAAACATCATGCTTTGGGGCTGTTTTTCTGCAAAGGGACCAGGACGACTGATCCGTGTAAAGGAAAGAATGAATGGGGCCATGTATCGTGAGATTTTGAGTGAAAACCTCCTTCCATCAGCAAGGGCATTGAAGATGAAACGTGGCTGGGTCTTTCAGCATGACAATGATCCCAAACACACCGCCCGGGCAACGAAGGAGTAGCTTCGTAAGAAGCATTTCAAGGTCCTGGAGTGGCCTAGCCAGTATCCAGATCTCAACCCCATAGAAAATCTTTGGAGGGAGTTGAAAGTCCGTGTTGCCCAGCGACAGCCCCAAAACATCACTTCTCTAGAGGAGATCTGCATGGAGGAATGGGCCAAAAATACCAGCAACAGTGTGTGAAAACCTTGTGAAGACTTACAGAAAATGTTTGATCTGTGTCATTGCCAACAAAGGGTATATAACAAAGTATTGAGAAACTTTTGTTATTGACCAAATACTTATTTTCCACCATAATTTGCAAATAAATTCATTAAAAATCCTACAATGTGATTTTCTGGACTTTTTTTTCTCAGTTTGTCTGTCATAGTTGACGTGTACCTATGATGAAAATTACAGGCCTCTCTCATCTTTTTAAGTGGGAGAACTTGCACAATTGGTGGCTGACTAAATGCTTTTTCCCCCCACTGTAACACCTTGATTAATTTCTCAGATATCATGTGAGTGGTGTAACAAAGTGATAAAATAAACAAAAATACATTTGCCTTTAACAACACTGATTAAAGTGCTAGTAAGTCAGACAGGTAAAATTGTCTTCATGTGCAATGTTATCCCTCATTACTACTGTAATTGACATTTCGCGCTATTTGCATGTGGAAATGTGACATGTACAGTCCCTTCAAAAAGTATTGACACCCCTTAACTTTTTCCACATTAAACGTTTTTGTTGTTACAGCCTTTTTGTTGTGTTTTGTGTTACAAGTGGAAATATGTTTTTAGTATTTTTTTGACTATTTCATTAAAAATGAAAGGCTGAAATACCTTGAGTCAATAATTATCCAACCCCTTTGTTATGGCAAACCCAAATATACTGAACCAAATTATAAACTGCAACATGCAACATTTTCAAAGATTTTATTGAGTTACAGTTCATATAAGGAAATCAGTCAATTTAAATAAATAAATTAGACCCTAATCTATGGATTTCACATGACTGGGAAAACAGATATGCATCTGTAGGGGCGTGGATCAGAAAACCAGTCAGTATCAAGGAATTGTGTACAGATCCTTGTGAAATGGGGCCATGCATTATCATGCTGAAACATGGTGATGGCGGTGGATGAATGGCACGACAATGGGCCTCAGGATCGTGTCACGGTATCTCTGTGCATTAAAATTGCCATCGATAAAATGCAATTGTGTTTGTTGTCCGTTGCTTATGCCTGCCCATACCATAACCCCACCATGGGGCATTCTGTTCACAACGCTGACATCCGCAAACCGCTCACCCATAAGACGCCAAACACGTGGTCTGCAGTTGTGAGGCCGGTTGGACACACTGCCAAATCCTCTAAAACAACGTTGGAGGCTTATGGTAAATAAATGAACATTAAATTGTCTGGCAACAGCTCTGGTGGACATTCCTGCAGTCACCATGCCAATTGCACGCTCCCTCAAAACTTGAGACATCTGTGGCATTGTGTTGTGTGACAAAACTGCACATTTTAGTGGCCTTTTATTGTCACCAGCACAAGGTGCACCTGGGTAATGATCATGCTGTTTAACCAGCTTCTTAATATGCCACACCTGTCAGGTGGATGGATTATCTTGGAAAGGACAAATGCTCTCCAACAGGGATGTAAACAAATTTGTGCATTTGGAAAATTTCCAGGATCTTTTATTTCAGCTCATAAAACATGGGACCAACACTTTACATGTTGCGTTTATATTTTTGTTCAGTGTAAGTTCAGGAGGAAAAATGTGCTTCACAAGTCACATAAGTTGCATGGACTCACTCTGTGTTCAATAATAGTGTTTAACATGATTTTTCAAATGGCTACCCCATCTCTGTACCCCACACATACTATTATTTGTAAGGTCCCTCAGCCGAGCAGTGAATTTCAAGCACAGATTCAACCAAAGACCAGGGAGGTTTTCCAATGCCTCACACCCTACTGGTAGACGGGTAAAAATAAAATAAGAAAGCAGACATTGAATATCCCTTTGAGCATGGTGAAGTTATTGTGGGCGGCAGGTAGCTTAGTGGGTATGAGCGTTGTGCCAGTAACCGAAAGGTCGCTGGTTCTAATCCCCGAGCTGACTAGGTGAAAAATCTGTTGATGTGCCCTTAAGCAAGGCACTTAACCCTAATTGCTCATGTAAGTCGATCTGGATAAGAGCATCTGCTAAATGTTATTAATTACACTTTGGATGATGTATCAATTCACCCAGTCACTACAAAGATACAGGCGTCCTTCCTGATTGCAATAAGGCACTAAAGTAATACTGCAAAGAAATTAATGTTTTGTGCTGAATACAAAGAGTTTGGGGCAAATCCAACAACACATCGCTGAGTACCACTTCATATTTTCAAGCATGATGGTGGCTGCATCATGTTATGGGTATGCTTGTCATCGGCAAGGACTAGGGTTTTTTTTTGGGATAAAAAGAAACAGAGCTAAGCACAGGCAAAACCCTAGAGAAAAACCTGGTTCAGTCTGCTTTCTAACAGACACTGGGAGACAAATTCACCTTTGAGCAGGACAATAACCTAGAACACAAGGCCAAATATACACTGGAGTTGCTTAACAAGACAAAATTGAATGTTCCTGAGTGGCCTAGTTACAGTTTTGACTTAAATTGGCTTGGAAATCTATGGCAAGACTTGAAAATGGCTGTCTAGCAATGACAACTTGACAGAGCTTGACATTTATTTAATTTTTGTAATAATGGGAAAATATTGTACAATCAAGGTGTGCAAAGCATTAGAGTATTTTGTGTAGATTGTTGACCCAAAAAAATTGCCCACTTTGTAACAACAAAATGTGGAAAAAGGGGTGTGAATACTTTTTGAAGGCATTGCATAACCTTTAACTTTGTTGAAACTGGTTTGCAGTCTCTTTTACGCAGTGAACTTCTGCATCTTTCATACTATTAAAGCGTCAACTATCATGTTGTACTAGGATCGAGCACTGAGTTTTTCCTTACCATGTGACCTAACAAGGGCCCTGAGTTTTTCCTGGTCAGGTTGGTCAAGAAAAACTCAGAGCCCTATGAGGGTTGTGCTATGGGGGAGGCATGCATAGTGTGCATACACACCTGACAGTCACACCGTTTCACCATTGTTGAATCAGCTCGTTAGTGTGCGGGTTATGCAAACACAGGATTGTAGGAATTACTCTTAAATAAAGTAATTATGTAATTTGGAAACATAATAATCTTAATTAGAAGGCTATATCTCAATGACAATAAATTATGTAATATTAATATGATGAGACACAGGCTATATTGTTAATATGAGGATATAATAACATGAGGCATTATGGCATATCAATGAGTGGATACCATGGGCAATTGACAAATAGGTAAACAAAAGAGAAGAAACCTTGATTTAGAGGATATGGGATGGATTGCAGGAATACTTACTTAGGCACAGACTATGGAAAAGCTGTATCTGAAAGATGAAGATGAATCTGTCAGTCAGGCTTTGTCATGCGATGATGATGACCTATAAAATACAAGACACTGCTCTCAGTCAAGCGATACATTTGCAATGCTTGGTTAACGCACCAAACAAGCATAGAGGCTAGGATTCTAGTTGTATTCTTCAGCAGCCATAGTAAACATGTTTATTAATCATCACTGTGACAATAACTTAAAACGGGTGTGTAGTCTAGTCTTCGATATGTGATAAGGCTTCGAACTATTGTGGGACATTATTTGTTGTTGATGAAGCAAGGTGTCGATTCCAAATTCGTGCAGTCCATCGGATATAGGCGCTTGCAGAAACCCAGGAACGTAGACAATAGAGCAGTAAACTCAGTACATAATAAAATAAGCAATATCAAATAGATACAGTTCAGTCGATAGGATTGGCTATCCTACAGTATTGTAGCGGTTGTTTTCAGGTAAGACCGGTGGTGCCTGCAAACCCGATTAGGCTGTCACGGAATCAATAAAGTGAACCCACGGTAAACATTACATGAGCAACATTGTTAATAAATTAGTATAAACTAATATTTTGTTGATCTAGCCCAAAGTCCTTAGTATTAAGCTCACATTTGCATCTATGCAAAATGTCGATCTAGGGTCTGAAAAGATAGACAAGCGAATGAGAGTCCATCTTGCTTTAGAGAAAATGAAGTATAAATCTCACTCCTGTCAAACTCGTATGCATTCATTGACAAAGGTATTCCACATGGACAAATCGGCACCTTTCATTACTTAAACTAGCGATTTTCCGTCCAGATATTTGCGGCAATACGTTTAATGGGCATCATGGTCACCATTTTCTACCAGTTACTAGGAATAAAAGTAGCTTGTTAGCTTGCTAGCTCTCAGACGCGAATTGCTCCAGCCCGCCTGCTGAACGTGTCGTATGCAAAACATGCAATGGTTCCAAAAGGCCACGAGCCACTATAAGTGACAAACATCCATGGAATTGTAATCAAACTTCACTCATTTTATTGTTTGCACGCAATCGAACGCTGCCGTCATTCGTTTAGTAACAATGTAGCCGTGCATTTCATGGGGGTAGTGCTCCTGTTTCTCAGCGGAAGGCAAATACTCTCTCTTTACCATGTCGTACATGTTGTCTCAGTCTTTTGCATGGTCGGTTTTTACCGAACAGTGACTTAAAATGTACACCAAACGGCTTTGAGCGATGTAATTGACGATTATAACAACACGTTTATAAATGAAAGCTATTGTAGACATAAAATAATACAGCACAAATAAAAAAGCACCACGCTGACCACTTCCAGAGCGGCGATACACTGATACAAATCTCACACTGGATGACTGAGTGGTTTTGGTGAAAACGACACTGTAATTTTGATAAGGGATAAAATACCAACAAGTTCTCTGTCATGACGGCATATAGCCTAGGCTACATATTAAAACATACCTCTGATACCCAGCTCGAATGCCAGGGCCCTCTCATCCCCATCTGCGTCCACCTTAAAACTTATTGACACATAACAGTTCCGCACTGGCTGTACAATAACACAAATATGAACTCTATTCACCGGATGAACGCTACAGCGCAACACAACGATCTGAAATCACCAAACTAAATATGAAAATTCACGAATTCTATCGAAATCAGATAAACGATCAGTTACATTAGGTCGCAGTAACGTACTTTCGTTTTCCTCGAACAAATTTTGCATCTTCTCTAATCTACCCTCCCCCGTTCGAAGTGTTATAGGGCTATGGTCTTGTAAAGCCTTGTGCAGTATGATGTCCATAGCCAAGCACTGACTGGCCTAGCCGTGTCATCACCCATTCAGATTCTGGCCTTACAGCACACATATTTTTAACAAACTTTCTCTTTGCAACGTGTTTGAAAAACGTCACTGAAAAGATGTGACTAGCGAGAAAAACGGACTGTTTTTAAGCAGAAAGTCACTGCCTGTGTCTCAGTCGTGTGTGACTACTTAATATAGCTTCCTGGGTGTTGCGTTACTGTGAGGGATCGGAGTGTTTGGAAAATAAAGTGTAACAGTAAAAGTATTCCAGCACTCACCTGCAACAGGCCACCCAGAATGTAAAGGTAATTAAGGCGTGGTGCTCCAACTGAGCCGTTGTCAACCTCATTCACCCTCGCTTAGTGTTCTTTGAATATAACAGTTTTTACAACATACAGAGAGTACTGTACATGCAGAGTGAAAATAGCCTTATCATGTAAGGCTGATCGTGATTGGATGATGGCTTGAACGACAGCCGGAATCAACCAAACAGAGAGAACATTACAGTTGTGTATTGTTCTGAGACAGCACAACATATCATGTCTTCATAATGTTCAGGACATGTACGGTTACACTGTACAACCAGGTAGGGTAGAACGAAGAAAATGCACAACAATTAACCAGAAGCCATACTCGCAGATGGAATCTCATTGTAAATTAAATGTACACAGTATAGATCTAACCATGATGGCACATAGCCTACAAATTGGCAGCTATAATGTTTCACAGAATAAGCTGTTCAAATGAAGTCACATGTTTAAAGCTAGAATCCTTAGTTGCTACATCAATTTTTGTATTTATAAATGAATGATATATAGGCCTACTAATTGATTATTGAAGAATATAACTTATAAATGCCTCATAAGCATAGTTCATCTATTGTACCCCATCAGAACCCCAAATATACTCTTGTTTTACTCCAATGTTTGTAAACAACGTAAATGTAAACAAACACAGTATAGCCTCAAAACATGGTTAAAACTATTTGATATCATGGATGATCAGTCCTTGCATCCATAGGTTTGTCTATGAATTTGAGAGTGGTTAAATTTTTTCAGCCCCCATCCCTTAGCTTTTTAGCGAAACAGGGGCAGAGAAACCGACGTCAGTGTGCAGCTAACAGTAGGCTATAGGTTTCTCCACTGTCCCTGTCCCCATACCGGGCTCAAACCAGTGATCCTCTTTTTGCAAACACACGTGACCGTCCTTGACAACATACCAACCTTATTGAGCTATAGAAAATGATCCTATTTACTAGCTCCATTGGCAACATTTCTAGCTAGCTGTGGAGTGAGCTTATGGCACTTTCTTAACTCTGTTACACTCACCCCTTCAAAACTAGCTACACAACGAGCGACCCCAGTGAAACCCACGTAAGTGTGCTGCTAACTGTCCCCACACCCGGCACGAACCAGTTGTCCTCTGTACTACGTTCGCAAACACACGTGATTGACGACATACCAACCAATTGAGCTATAGAAAATGTACCACTTCGCTAGGACTGTCTGGGAGAGATCTGCGTAGGGAGGTGAAAACTGAAAATCATCTGTTATCGGCAGAGAGGTTTGGAACTCTTATTGGTCTATTAACTAATTTACTGCCTGGTGATTTACCGCCAACACTCCACCCCACCAAAACAAGCTGAATTTCAGGCGGTCTTTTCAAACACTAAAATGGCATTATAATCATGTTCTTAATTTCACCGTACTATACCAACCTCATAGTGTGGAAATATGTATAAAACACAGAAACATCACGTTGTTGACTGCACTGGGGCTTAAAAAAATTCATAAAATTGGCATGGCCTAATTTAGTCTTGTCCGAGCCAGAACACAGGATCTCCTGTTTCTGTAGTATGAGCGGTGGCGACCGCATGTTGCCTGTTTTGCATGTTATTTTGGAATTTATATGTGTCACATATCAGTTTGCAAACAATGTAAAAAATAATAATAATAATAATAATTGAGTTAATAAAGCCACATACAAACTTGGTCTCTTTTTTGCTTTCTTGAGTAAGGCAGCTCCAAAATGCAGGTGTTTCAGCCTAGCTCAGTGCTTTCTGCGCCGTGATTGGCTCAATGTTCTGTCACTCATGGGGACACTACCTCGCTGCAAAATCTACGGGTAGAGGTCGAAAATTCAAGCCCCTTGGGTGCTGCCATAGAGTTACATTAGAAGTGCCCATCCAAGAAGGCTCAAGGTCATTGGCCACAGATTAAATCACGTCAAATCACGTTATATCTACAGTAGCTTTGATCGGACTGATCATGTCGACATCATACTTTCAAAATCTTAGCTAGCAAGCTAGCAGTCATCATCATGAATCACGTCGACAATCTATTGGCAAATCCTTTTCAATCCTTGTCATATGAAGATAAATAATGAAGAGAAATTATAGATACAACGTATCAGTGCTCATCAGCCATTGGACATAAACATTACACAAGAAGTTCAAAATCGCAAATTCAACAATGAGTGGTTTGGAAGGAATCAGTGGCTAACTGCAAGCATTGCAAAGCAATCACTAGCCTGCTATTCACTGGAGTGGGTGTGTGGTCCAAGTCTGGGCTTAAGGGTCTCTTTTCCAAGTTTAAAAGGATAAACATCTAACATTGGCCATGCTGTCAATCCAGCATGACTTCTGCTGCGCTCAAAACAACTGGAAACTCGGAACAGGGAAATCTCAGACTTCAGTGAGTTCAAGAAAACTGGGAACTCTGAAAAAATGAGCTCCGACTGGGAAAATATGTTTTGAAAGGTCATCCAACTCGGAATTGCAAGTCGGGAACTCGGGCCTATTTCTAGAGCTCCGACCTGAAGATCACTGACGTCATCATGATTCTACCTTATTTTTTTCAGAGTTCCCAGTTGTCT